TTAACATTATAAAACTGAATATCTTAAAGTTTTCTAAGTGGCGATGGGCGTTCATAATTTGATTTTATTGCAGATGAAAACTTCTGATTTGAAGAAGGTACGACATAGTGATTTTTCGAAAACCGATTATCATGTTATACTGCAAACAAATAGTATGGGAACACCCTAAAATGTGATAGTCATATATAAACTTAAACGTGGTGAGGTCATTTATACTCTAAGGTAAATACAACTTTTTGTGTGCTTAATTGGCACCTTAAACGACATGTTGGAACATGCAGTGAAGCAACTGATTCAATATTCGTTGAGTTTGAGTGAAATGAAACATTTTCAAAAACAGCGAAAATCAAGGGTGCTCAAACAACGCCCAAACATAACAGCCTAGTGCATGTGGAAGACAGACTTCCCATGCAGCTAGTGGCGCCTATGCACTATACACCGGACACAAAATCACACGTCCTAAAAAAGGGCGGTAGAACAACTCAGTGAACATAGTAAATATCGGGCGTGACCATCATTGACCAAATTCTTAAATATTGATGCCAGGGGCTGGCCTTCCCATTCCCAAGACTTGAACACCCGGATAAGCTGGGAAGAGAGCAGACGAATCAGACCTTGCAAGACCTTGGGCGAGCACTCTTTGACCAAAGGTACCGGTCAGACAGGACATCCTACCATGAGACGTTGTGTTGCCGCTACAGCCGCCCCAAGAGGTTATGGTCTTTATTGACTTTATCAGTGAAGTTTGACTGACTGACTGAGTTTGGTTTTTACGCCGCTTTTGGCAATATTCCAGCAACATCACGGCGGGGGACACCAGAAATGGGCTTCACAAATTGTGCCCATGTGGGGATTCGAACCCGGGTCATCGGCGTGACGAGCCAACGCTTTAACCATTAGGCTACCCCACCGCCCCCAGTGAAGTTTGAGCTGGAACGTGATGCATTATCGTTCCAATAAAATGATGCCATACTACTTTTCACCGTCTGTATTGTCACCTAGATGGCAGCGGTATGATACGCATCTGTTTTTATAATAATGCACACAGTCTTATAAGACCGTCTTTGCCTTCATTAGTGATAATGATATGAATGTCTTTCATTTTATTTGAAAACTGTTTTCATTGTTATTGGAAGCGGTGGAGCCTGGTTTCATCACAAGGCACAAATAATTTCAAGAACGTTTGTGTATCAGCTTCAAACAGACCTAGATTACAACGAGTCATGATCAGACGTCTGAAACTTTATGACTCTAACGAGCTGATACTTTTCTTTGCCAAAGTTCCTGCGATAGTGGGATGTTCTCTCGTCTGGGAAATGACTGCTCAAATAACAATGTGGCACTCAGTGATTCGCTGGTCATCCCTATATCGTGGAATTTCTGAAACGTTCGTTTGCCGTCAGGGACATGGAAAAAATACTATGGGTGGGACTGACGGGATGGAAACAGTGTGGTTTTATGTCGATTATACAATATTCCAGAATTGTCACGATAGGGCTACACCAAAAATGAGCTTCGTTTGTTGCATCCATGTGGGGAATCGAACCTGGGTCTTTGGCGTGACGAGCGAACACTTTAACTACAGTGCTACTCCAGCACGGAAGGTCTGGCGGACAACGAAACCCACGACATAAGACCCTTTGACAATGAGCTATAAACGACATATACTACTAAAAAACTGAGAAGAAGCCAATTATTTCATCTTACAACAGTTAATTAACAAAGTGTTTAGAACTTAGTAAGAACTAAGTCTTGATGACATCAAAGATCCTCCAAGAAACATTAAAATATCAAAAGATTGGCAAAACCCTACTGGACCTCAGTTTGATCGGGGCGTGGTGGGCGAGCTGTCTGAGGCGCCAGGCTAGTGATCCAGCGAGCTTGAGGTGTCGGGTTCGAGCCCACCTGTGACCGGGTGTAAAACCTTGGAGTCAACTTTGTGTGCAGACTCTTTCTGTGTTGTCACAACCCCTGGTGAACAGTACAGCAACGTGCAGTGAAACTTGGACAAAATGCTGTGACTATGTGTCCCAGTCCACCCAGCTGCCAATGGGTGCCTTGTAAGGATGGGAACGTCACATTATAATTAACTTGGTTCGCCTAGTGGCTGCACGAGTTGTATACTCCCCAGGGAGTTGAGAATGATAATACGGTGTGCTGTTGAAATTGACATCCAATGATCGAGGGGAAAAACAGCGCCTTGAGCATGTACTAGTTGGGTGGATATGTGCGTTATATAAATATCATACAAAAAATAATAATAAATAATAATGACCGCGCGGAGGCATGCAGTCACGAACAGAATGTACACAAGGTGCATGAAAACCTGTGTATCATTACAGAATTGTTGCATATCATTTGCTGCTGATGATCGCACCATGAATGCAAATATGCCACCTCAGCGTCAAGGATGTCATTAAGGAACGAGAATTCATTGGCATGCTTGAAGCAGAGTCAACACAACGTCACGCTACAAACGTTTTGGGGTTTTGTCAGCAAAGGCGTGATCTGCAGGGCATGGAACCGATCAGCTACCATGGGTACACAGGATTTTGCGAGGACCTTTCCATTGATTCGGGGATCGTTTATATATAAATGTATGATGTAAGTAATCAGAATGATTCTGACTATCTGTGTATTGTTATATGTTTTATCGTTTTCATTGCATGTGAGAGAAGAATGCATATATGCCGATCATTACCGTTGTCGTTCTGCGAGATTTTCGGTCAGTCATGGCATCACGCTGCACAGAAACTTAGACAATTTCGTATAAACATATCACATTACTGTATTGTATCTATTTTTTTAATTTGCTATTTCTTGCTACGATACTATTTCCATGTATGTTCTAAAAGTATTGAAATTATGCATGCTACGAATAAACGAATGGATGTCTGAAATTTGTTGAAAATGGACAAGTGTGTCTTTCTTTGTTTACACAGTGTCTTTCGCGCACAGCGTTCGTTTTCATGCCCAATATCTTTCGCTTCAAATCACCTAAACACCTGATTGTAGTGACAAAGACCATTTCTTTTTGATACTAAAATGTGTGATGAATTCAGTGATGCATTTATCGCAACTGAATATGAAATATACGTGATGTAATAATTAATAAAGCTAGCCATTAAATGTCTTGTGTGTCACATCAACACCCGTCCCCCGCAGAGGAGGGATATTTGTGGCCCCATATTTGCTTCCATTACTCAAGTTGGTTTTGAGTCGATGTAACACGTGTTCTGATTGGATAGAAAGAAAGGAGATAATTCGTGTTGCGATTTTCTTGCCGCTAGGGGATTTTACGAGAACCGGGAAATATGGTCGTATTAGAACAGAGGTTCGTAGGAGGATATGACAAGTAACCTCTGTGGGAAGAGAATGACTGAAGAGGGGAACGATGTTCCTTTAGCAGCTATCCAATTATTTTGTTTTTGTGATTTCCCCATGTTTCAGCTTTGATCAGGTATTGTTTGGTCACGTGATGTTTGCTGACATTGTGTCACACATCAAACTCTTGTTCATTAAATATGTCTTCTCGCAAAGTAATATTTGCAACTTTATCTGATGCACACAGTTTGACGTTTTACCTTCTCAAACTCAGATGAGTTTGCCATGGCATAACAGATTAGCTGTTGTAAATGAAAGAATCAGGGTGTCCTCAACTTTCTGTTATCTGCAAATACTGTCCCTTTTGTTTCAGTGAGTTTAGTTTTACGCCGCATTTAGCCACCGCGGGGAACACCAGAAATGTGGGAAATCGAACCCGGGTCTTTGGCGTGACGAGAGAACGATCATTCATTATCTAGGCTACCCTACCGCCCCATTTGTTTCAATACTGCACTCAATAACTCGGATCGTCGAAAACCCAGGTTTGATTCGCTACACTGATTGATCTGCCCGAATAGTTACTGATTCAAGTTACCTTCACCCAAGGGAGCTCACCGATATTACCGGCAGGAAGGACTGATTAGTGCAGGGCGGCAGGGTTGTCTCGCGGTTGAAGCGGACGCCGAAGTGACGAGCGTGACGAGTGTGTCCAGTGTCCATGTCATGATTGTTAGAAGATTACTAAATGCGGGGTAAAAAGATATTGACTCACGCAATATGCTCATAAAATGGTCCACGGAGTATTCCTATGCCGTTTCCATTCACTGGTTTTCTTCGCTAAAGGGGTTTATATTTGACACCGAGTCTGGAGTCGTATTAAACTACAACTCCTAACTTGGAATCCTTACTGTGTTTCTGGATCGATGCCAAGCCCTCTGCGAGTGCAGCTGAACTTGTATCATTACTGCATGTAATGTTGACCCTTGAAGATCCGGGTTAGAATAAATATTGGTCTTCAGCAACCCATGTTTGTCATAAGGGGCCACTAACGGGATCGGGAGGTCAGACTTGGTTGACACGTCATCACATTTTTATCCCAACTGCGTAGATCGATGCTCATGATGTTGATCACTGGGTTGTCTGGTCCAGACGCGATTATTTACAAACCACCAGAATATAGCTCTTTGATAAACAACAAACAAATAATATTGACATTATGACTTTGTTCAGTGTTTTTGTTTAGTGAGCACCTTCACTCACCCCGTACCCAAACAGACCACACGCATTTGTCACATCGATTTTTCCACAGCGAGTGAAAGTTGCCAGTCAGTATGTAAATCCTATTTAACCAGTGGATAATTGCAGAACCTAATAAAAACCTGGGTACAGTGGATATTCCCTTGAAGCCTTGAGTCCGAGAGGGTCATATTGCCCAATCCACTCTACATGACCAGTGGCGGATCCAGAGGTGGGTTCAGGGGTTCGGACACACACAGACCACCACCACCACCACCACCACCACCCACCTCTCTCCCCCTCCCCTCCGGAAATGACTAAAGACCACATTGAAGTTAATGTTTTGCAATGGCAGAGCCAAGGTTGTGTTCACACCCCCTCTCCCCTTTGGACATTTCTGGATCCGCCTATGATGAACATTAGGGAAGAGAAGTCAAAGATCTTATGAAAAACATGGTTTATTGTTCCGTCACGTCATTCAGTAATGCCCGTCTGACGAGCAGATCGTGAATCTACATCTTTCTGAAACAATCACGTCTGCCTCGTCTCCAATAAAACACGTGAACATTGAACAAGGTATACAACAAGCAATGCGTGCATAGTGATGATTGGGCCACTGCAGGGTACATCTAGTAAACAAACACTGGACACTTGACATGGCCTGGCTTATTCCAAGACATTACGTGTAGAGTTGATCCATCACTGAAGGGACCTTATAATAATTACGCTTTTAAAAGCTGGTTCCCGGCTCCCTTTGAGCGTCGTCAAATTGCGAATGTTGCGATATGAGAGACAGGTCCCACCTAATATGTACCACCCCTTGGCTGACGTCACATGCATTATTTCGATGAAGCAACAAAATTCGACAAATTACGTCATAGGGTAGTGTGACTTTGAGGTGCTATGCGTATTTGCACAGTGTGCGCACCGGTTTTACTTTGATACCTCTATATACACAAAAATGTTGAAGTATATTTTTAATAAAGCAATTGCAAGTGATTGGTTAACACAACATATTTTGTGTTTATGTTTCCATTAAACAAAAAAAAACATGAGCCACGTCCACTAGCGAACAAACTGGACGTGTTCCACATTCCTGGTTTCAAGTACGTGACATGCATAGCCTCAAATACAAATAGATGAATGAAAACTTCAACAGACTTTTTATTAATGTCACACGCATAATCATTCTATGTTTAACACATAATTCACATACAACAAGTGTATTTTTCACAACTAAACGCATTTGCCCGATTACAGTGTCAGTCGTCTGCTTCAGCTTAGCAATGGCCGATGCAAATATTATCTACGGCGATTTTCATTTTGGATACATTGAGACTGTTTTGACACGAATTCCGGTGTCTTAAATGATATTCTGTGTTTGGCAAATATGGATATTTTTCTGGACGAAGAGTTTGATCTGGAGACAATGGCCGTCATCCAGAGGTATGAAGTCGAACATGAACCACCAAAACTACAACCCCTACCCGAAAAAACGATTCAGAAAACTCACTGAAACTGATCTAAAGGACTAGGGCGCTGACGTCATTCCACAGCAACAAAAAAAATACATCCGGACCAAATGGAGTGTTAAAATGTACCAATGTACAGCCTGGTCAGTTTTTAACATTTTCTAGTGCCTATCATAAAGTGAAAAGTCAACATGCAATATATATCAAAATGATTTCTGGAAAAGTAGTTTATCATCTTCACCGTGTCTGCTTGGCCCAACTGTCATTCCAGAACATTCAAGGAAATGGTCTGTGGTCCAAGGGAGATAACTCCATGCATTATTTTTGGGGTGCTTTTTTTCATCAGCTGATCAATGACCTAGTTCATATGTACATCGGGTTAGACTGATGTACCGTGTGCATAGTTTTGTTTACTGAAGAAATAAAACAAATAAATAGTTTTAGTAAAGCATAATTTAGTAAATTTACACACTTAAATATAATTTGTATTAATTCCAGACTGCAACTATGATCGCATCAGCATGAAAGCCATTATGCCTGAAAATCTAGGCACGAAATTATGGCAATTTTAAGCCTGAAGCCCAACCAAAGAACATTTCTCAAAGATGTGGAAAAAAACACCTCCCAACCAAGCTATCGAGTACCACACACATTCTCTTTAACTTGTAAGATCGGCAAAAAACGTCATTTGCAGACACTGACAATGTAAGAGACAAACAGTTTACACCAGCCAATGCCCATTTCCATGGGAAACTGAAATCCATTGCAGAAAATGGTCTTTCGAGACCAACAAAACATACAGATATAATTCTACCGGCAGATTTACAACACATTTCGCATTCCGTCATTCCGACCACAAATCCGTTATTCTCTGTTACCCAGTATGGTACCAACAGGCCATCCACTTCATCACTCGGAGCATATATTTTCACAAACAACTAAACACGAATTCCTTTCAGAATCAGATTACTCGGATTTACAAAATCTGCACACATTTTTTTTAGGTTTAAACCACCATAAACCCCAAAACATTGAAGTCAGGGGCGGTTTCACAAAGTGGCGATAACGCTGTATTCATAGGCAGAGGGGGCGCATCTACACCCCCCACCCCCCACAGCTGTTGAACATCTGTCAGTTATCATTGTAGCTGCAATCATCTTTGTGCTACTTACAAGAAATGCTGCTTAAAGGTATCAAATACCAATATCAAATACTGCAAGTCAACTACTCCAAGTTCAATGTACCATACAGTTAGTACACTGAGCCAGATCATTATCTTAGATAGCTCCTACAACCACTATAGGGTCTGAGGAGGTAAATCATATTGACCTCTGTACATGTACATAGAGACATAACAATCTTAAACTCATCCTTTGAGGAGTCTTTGGGTTTTTATCGGTTAAATTTACATAATTTTGGTCCAAACATTCAAATTAAAAGTAAAACAATTAAGATTCACTCACTCACTCACTCAAAGCCACACATTGGTCAGCCACTTGCTCACATACTAGGAAAGAAATCATGGGGTCAGCCACTCAAGGAGTCAGTCACTCAAGGGGTCAGCCACTCTGACCAGGTCCAGTCGTCGGCACAGTAAAGCCTCCACATGTAGAAGCCGCTGACGGCAGCCACCTGGAACATGCGGCCCAGGAGGATCTGTGTGGGCCAGATGCTGTGTTGCCCAACAAGCCAGGACAAGCCAGACAGGAAGCCACCGCTGCACTCTGACAGGAAGATGGTCGTCAGCTGGGTGAACATGTAGATGACAGACAGCCGGAGGATGAGGGGGGATTTCCATGGCGACATGGACATGATGGACTCGTCAGCATCAATGTCGTCCAGTAGGGTGACGTTGTTCTGAAACAATGAGTCACATGACACATCCTGGACACACCCTCTGTCACATGCCTAGAGTGAGTGAGTGAGTAGGTTTTTATGAAACTTTAGCATTATTCGAACAATATCGCGATTGAGACACCAAAAATGTGCTTCACACATTGTACACCCATGTGAAACTGAGTGAACTCTTTAACCACTTCAGGGGTGGAAATAACTTTAAAATTGCCAGTGGCACATGTAAAATCACTTGCCCTGATAATTTTTCCACTATACCGGCCGTTTTCTTGTTGATTTTTTAAATAATCAACATAATTAACATTGGAATATCAACTGGACACCGGTACAGTGTGATATACACATTTGCTTGCCCGACAGATAAAAACACTGGACTCGGGCCTCGGGCAATGGGTTATTTCCACCCCTGCACTTGGATATGCCATCGCCCATAACATAGTTAGAATTAATAGTTTATATACCATATAGTTTATACCTTATATGTTGAAGGAAGTATTGTGATAGTGACTTCAGTTTATTGACTGACTGACTGACTGACTGACTGAGTTTGGTTTTATGCCGCTTTTAGCAATATTCAAGCAACATCAGCGGGGAACACCAGAAATGGGCTTCACACATTGTACCCATGTGGGGATTCGAACCCGGGTCTTCGGAGTGACAAGCCAACGCTTTAACCACTAGGCTACCCCACTGCCCCTCAGTTTATTGACAATGACTTTAACATATCAGTGCTTTGAAGTAGTGACTTCCCTTCATCAATAGTGACTTCTGTATCAAGTGAGGATGGTTTTCCTGCTCTTGTAGCAATATTCCAGCAATATTCTAGCAATACAACAATATCACAGCAATATTCCAGCAATATTCTAGCAATATCCCAACAATATTCCAGCAATATCCCAACTTCAGCAATATCCCAACATCAATATTCCAGCAATATGACTTCCAGATATATTTTATCAGATATATTAGAATAGTCCAGGATGTCCAGTATTCCAGCTCCTATATTCCAGTCCAGCAATATCCCAGCAATATCCCAGCAATATTCCAGCAATATCCCGGCAGGGGACACCAGAAATGAGCTTCACATTGTACCCACGTGGGGAATCGAAACCGGGTCTTCACATAACAAGCAAAAGCCTAAACCACTAGGCTACCCCACTGCCCTTTATTATCGATAGTGACTTCATTTTATTGATAGTGACTCTATCATATCAACCATGACTTCAATTCATCAACAGTCACTTCAGGGTATCAATAGTGACTTCAGTGTTCCATTTTAGCTCAAGAAAGATGGTAAAGAATACCTCGTCTCCCTGTGTGAAATTCTTGGTAACCTTGTCGACGATGAACAGGATGCAGTAAAGGCGGATGATGACAGAGAGGAGGAAGAATGGTGACAGGAATTTCTTGAAGAATAACACAGCCTTCATTGCAGTATCTACAGATTATACAAGTGAGTGAGTGAGTGAATGGGTAGCAGGGCTGCTTTACATCATCTGTACATCATCTGTGTTTAATATTCATATATTAACAGAATTAAAACATGAAACAACACTGTGTGTGAAATACACATATGTCAGAAAGTGCACGTGAAATCTCCAAATCATCATCATCATAAAACAATAAAATAATTTAGTCCGCCAAAACGTACCTGCCCTCATGTTGAGAATGGAGATGAAGATGTCAGCCAGAGACTTGCTGTAGTATCTAGAACATGAGATGTTTCAAGATCATCACGCACCTTATCAACAATCAATTTAAAATAAACAAGTCCCATTCATCATTAAACTGCAGTCATTACCAGACACTATGATAAAACTGCAATAAAGAAAATACTCCCAATATTCAGAAGCAATTGCTATCCAATCCGGTAATCAGTACTGCCACAAATTTTTAATTTCTGTTGCTGAACAACATCTGACCTGTTCCATGAAGGTGGTGGTTGCAGCGGTGCTCGGATGTGTGACGTCTCCTCCAGCATGGCGTATAACACCACAACCGGACAATCCGTACACAGACTGCAGAAGGCAGCATCAGCTGATTATACCTGGGTAGTACAATCCATGGCAACAGATGGGACAAACAGTTAGATAGGGATGGCAACAGATAGGACAATCCATGGCAACAGATAGGACAATCCATGGCAACAATCCATGGCAACAGATAGGACAATCCATGGCAACAGATCCATGGACAGATAGGACAATCCATGGCAACAGATAGGACAATCCATGGCAACAGATAGGACAATCCATGGCAACAGATAGGACAATCCATGGCAACAGATAGGACAATCCATGGCAACAGATAGGACAATCCATGGCAACAGATAGGACAATCCATGGCAACAGATAGGACAATCCATGGCAACAGATAGGACAGTCCATGGCAACAGATAGATAGGACAATCCATGGCAACAGATAGGACAGTCCATGGCAACAGATATGGCAACAGATAGGAAATCCATGGCAACAGATAGGACAATCCATGGCAACAGATAGGACAATCCATGGCAACAGATAGGACAATCCATGGCAACAGATAGGACAATCCATGGCAACAGATAGGACAATCCATGGCAACAGATAGGACAATCCATGGCAACAGATAGGACAATCCATGGCAACAGATAGGACAATCCATGGCAACAGATGGGACAATCCATGGCAACAGATAGGACAATCCATGGCAACAGACAATCCATGGCAGATAGGACAATCCATGGGATAGGATCCATGGCACCAGATAGGACAATCCATGGGCAGATAGGACAATCCATGGCAACAGATAGGACAATCCATGGCAACAGATAGGACAATCCATGGCAACAGATAGATAGGACAATCCATGGCAGCAGATAGGACAATCCACAATAGCAACAGATAGGACAATCCATGGCAACAGATGGGACCAGATAGGACAATCCATGGCAACAGATAGACAATCCATGGCAACAGATAGGACAATCCATGGCAACAGATATGGCAACAGACAATCCATGGCAACAGATAGGACAATCCATAGCAACAGATAGGACAATCCATGGCAACAGATAGGACCAATCCATGGCAACAGGTAGGACAATCCATGGCAACAGATAAGACCAATCCATGGCAACAGATAGGACCAATCCATGGCAACAGATAAGCCACATCCATAAGCACATCCATGGAACAGACCAATCCACCTGCCCCACCCATCCACCTACCCCACACACTTTCCTGGTCATCCACATCATGTCATGCGCAGCCACCCCCACCCATCCTTTCCTACCCTACCCACCTGGGACGGACATCCAAACTTTCTGTGCGGAAAGCAGCCCCAATACCCCTTCCTACCCCACCCACCTTCCTGGGACATCCACATCATGTTGTGCACAGCCACCAACAGCAGAAGTACCACAAACACCAACCTGAAACACAGACACAACACCAAGTCTACACAGGGCGTGACTGCACACATCCTGCACACATCATAGACCATCATGATAGGAAACTGCTGGTGAAGACACCCCTAAGTCATACAACCACATCAAGTGAGCCAGTGAGTGTCTTACACTGTCTTATGCTGCTTTTAACAATATTCCTTCAATATCATTTTACCCATGAGGGGAATCGAACCCGGGACTTTTTCGCGATGATGAGAGAATGCTTTAACCACTAGGCTACCCCACTGCCCCCATGAGCGAGTGAGATGGGATTAACACCACTTGGAGCACTATTCAGTCAAATCTGGGATGCCACAAACAGGTTAAGGGAGACAACTCTGCAAAGCAAACTTCAGCCCATGAGGAGCTGGGTCAGCAGAGCCCTACATCAGCTTCTTCACTGGGTTATTTATTCGCATATTTATTGAACCTCAGAAAAAAACTGGTACTTTTAAATATATTTATACTTCATAAGTCAAATAAATCAAACAAAACTCTAGAGTGAGTGAGTTAGTTTAGTTTGATGCCACTTTTAGCAATATTACAGCAGGGGACACCAGAACTGTGCTTCACACTTTGTACCCATGTGGGGAATCAAACCATGATCTTCGGAGTGACGAGCAAAAGCTTTGACCACGAGGCTACTCCACCGCCCCAAAACTCTGGATATCTTGTCAGCACTATAATTTATTGTACTTTGAACAGGGTTTTCAAATAAATATAATGCTGTGGAATATATGTCACTTACCACAGCTGTACAGAGGATCCTTCACTGTAGATATTCCACAGCAGGCTCACAGCAACAGCATAGCACAGCATGGAGATGCCTATGACAAGACACTGGAATCACAAACAACAGCATCACAAGGAAGGATAGCAATATATGGATGAACAACTTCTGTATTACAGTGAGAGTGACGTTTCTGTGTAGGTTCCAACAACACCATTACTTAGCAAGTGATAAACAGAATAAAGATCGAGAGGCATATATATACAAGTGTGGGTAAGTGTTTTTAAAATCATTAACAATTTTTCCCATTGCCAATATGTCCAATTATCAACTTTTCAGCCAGCTCTACAGCACTACATTAACCGGCCTCATAACACAGCCTTGATCATCCAGAGTAAAACATCTCAAATCTTCTTTGGTTTGGTTGGTTGGCTGTCGTTTAAAGCTGCTCTCAGAAATGTTCCAGGTTTGTTACATAAGCCTGGACCAGACAATCTAGTGATTGTCATCATGAGCCAGTGACTGACTATCCAGTCCACTAGTCGCCACTTATGACAAGCATGGGTTGCAGAAGATCACTTCTAAACAAGATGTTCACTGGACAGAATGCAACAAAGCTAGTCAACAACTGGTGAGTGACATTCATGCTTCTTTCAAACCTGAAAGAACAGGGTTATTGTAACAGGTTGTTGTAATTTGTTGAAAAAGCCTCCTGCAAAGTTACTTAGGTCAAAACAGATTCATCTTCTGCAACCCATACTTGTCATAACAGGCAACTAATGGCATCAGGTGATCAGGCTTGCTGAATTGCTTGACACATGTCATCACATCCCAACTGCGCTTATGATGTTGATCACTGGATTGTCTGGTCCAGACTCAATTATTTACAGACATTGATGAGTGCAACAAACAAAACAAAACAAAACTGTCTCAAAATGAAGCAATGGTGGTTTTTTTTAGACATAATACCAGGATAATTCAGGATGATCTAACATGTATGAGACCAAGGGTTTTAGCACCACTTTGAACAATATTCCACTTATATCAAGGTGTGTCAGTTGACTGTGGGACAAAAGCCTAATATCTCAGATGGTGACCGTGGTGAAACCAAACAGCACAATATGGTGTTGACAGGCCAGGAAACAATCAGGGTAAACTTTTACTTGTATTCAAAAAGTTTTCTGTTATGGGACATAACTCATTGTAACAAATTCCTTAGAAGACAGAGCCATTTGTATTCCCTCAGAACAAGAGAGAATATAACCACAATCTGATTGAAATCCCAGCTGGAATGAGTGAGTGAGTTTAGTTTTACATCGCATTTAGCAATATTCCAGCCATATCACTTCAGGGGACACCAGAAATGTGCTCCACACATTGTACCCATGTGGGAAATCAAACCCCGGTCTTCGGCGTGATGAACAAATGCTTTAACCATTAGGCTACCCCACCGCCCCTCTGCTAGAATCAAACAATATTAGGTTACAACTTCCCTTCAGCCGATGGTTACCTTCCACCTGAACCCTTCTTCTTCTCCCTCGTCTTCTATCTTCTCTGCAACCCTCTGGCTGCATCGCATCACAAAGTTTTGTACTAACACCACCTCAGCTAGTAGCAACAGAGGTTCTGTTGCCCATATCAACTTGTCATACAGCCACACGATTGGCCACGGAGTGAGATTGATGGGAAGGAATGCCAGCAGCACCAGGAGGCCCAACTGGAGGTATGGGACGACAGAAAACTGTAACAAACCAGACAACAAACGTTGACAATGACTTATTGATTCAATGAGTTAGTGTGTAGGTAAATCAAAAGGGGAGTAAGTGAGTTCAGTTTTAAGCCACTTTTCATGTACAAGTACATTTAATTCTCAGCTCCTTTGGGAGTGTACACTGACTGACTGAGTTTGGTTTTTTACCGCTTTTAGCAATATTCCAGCAATATGAGCGGGGAAACCAGAAATGGGCTTCACACATTGTACCCATGTGGGGATTCGAACCGGGTCTTCTGCAGTGACGACCAGCGCTTTAACCATTAGGCTACATTGTACCTTGGGAGTGTACAAGCCAAGCAGCCTTATCAGAGTGAGTGAGTGTCTTTTACTTTCCATTGCATTGTTCCAAAATATCACAACAGGGCTACCAGAGATGGGCCACACACATTGTACCTAGGTGTTGAATCAAACCTGCATGGGTCTTCGGCATGACGAGCGAACACTTTAACAACTAGGCTATCCCACCACCAGATTAATCAAAAGGCTGATTGATCCATTCATTCAGGAGACTGAAGGAATTTCTTAAACAATATCACACGGATCAGGACACACACACACACAAACACACACACACACACACCTTGAACATGACTTAAGACCACATTGAAGATTTTTTTGCGTTGGCACAATGGCAGAGCCAATGGGGGGGTTCAGGCGGTTCGAACACCCTAAACTACACCCACATACACACCCCTTCAAAATTCCTGGATCCGCCCATGAATATTAATAGATAAACTGCCCTGTTCAAAACCTCAAGGCTAACCCACTGCCCATAACGTGAATATAGGCCATAGACTTATCCTGTCTCTTTAGGTAGTAAGGGATTTGTTCAAAATATGCCTCTGTTCACCCATCCATGAATGGTAGCCAGTAGAATGAGTTGGTAATGTGAATATGACTCTTCTAGTTCTATCTTCTGATAAGGCATGGGTTAGAATTGATCTTCAGCAACCTCATGCTTGAGGCGACTAACAGCATCGGGTGGTCATGGTGGTAGACTTGCTTGACTCTTGTCATCTGTGTAGATTGATGCTCATGATGTCAGTCACCGGGTTGTCTGATCCAGACTCCATTGTTTACAGACCGCTGCCATACAGCTGTAATACTGTTGCGTTTAACGTTAAAAAATAAACAAAATTACATTTGCAAACTTTCTTACCAGTGATCTTGGTATGTACTCGACAATTACACTGTGGATGTACAGAAGAAGTGAAAATCGAAGGATGACGTCAATACCAGTGAACGCTCCATATAAGGGTACTGTCACAAGGCACAGGTAAGACAGGAATTCTATAATGCATAGACAGGGCCAGTATCGACAGGGCCATAAACACATGCTGGTTTGTTTACATCTAAATTAAATATGGCGCTCTCCGTTTATTTCCGGGTTTTCTATAAACTGGTTTCGTAGGTAGTAGGCGCATGTCAGCGCGCAGTGTAATAGCTAAAACGGAACGTGACCAAACTTGATCACGTCTCAAAATCAATCAAAACGGACTACTTTTTTTATTTCACGAAAGTTTACCACTACCAGCGTATCGTTGGGTGGAAGATTTTGTTATTATCAAAGTGACGGTGGCCTTTTAACTGGCAATTCTAGCAAACTGATTCATGTGTTTCTTGCTCTACTAGATCAAATATGAGGATGTATAAGTTAACATTTACTGAAAAGGTTCTTGAGAGGCATATAGAAATTGGTATTCAAGTATAAGACAAAATATTATATATATACGGTCTCTATACAGTCTCAAGAATACAAACGCGGCACGTTTGCCAATGATGTCATAAAGATTATTTTGTGCATCTTTGTTTGATCAACCTCAACTGGTATGTGTTTGATCATAATAAACTGACAGGCAAAGGAAAGTATACGCCGCAACATTACTAGCGTTATCCAAACAATGTTAGGTTGAAAAACCACACCAAAACACTGCAAACTTAAAGGTCCAAACACACAACTATGATATAGCCCCTATAGGCAACAGGACAGTACTTAGGGCAAAGCATCAAAGAGGCCATAGACACCATAATCAATATGTCGACACTCAATATAAAAGGGCAACAATTAGATGCTGTCTTGATTTCTACTGCCCGGCAGCTCAGTAGAAATTAGTATCAGACTTGACTAGTCACCGTTTAGAACCCTTGGCATCAGTTATCATACATTTAATGTGACGCTGCAGTCACAGCTGTCCTTGATAGCATATCATATTGGATGACCCAGATGAATACCAGACAGACTGGGCTTCTGATAACCTAAACGAGAACATAATGATATTCTGATGTCATTCATAACGTCATTTATGCAGTTAGAATACAAACAATCGCTTCAACGTATACATACACCTATTAAATAACACCCTTATATATGTTGACCTCTCACAGAACTCTTTTCAACTTGCGTATGATGATACATCTGAGAATTGTTTAAAAATGTACTTGGTGGAATATGTCTCCAAAACACACCCTATGGAGCATGCATAGAATGTTCACGAGTGCAGTCTGTGTCAGTATCACATGTCGGTATTTCGTCTGCACTGGATACAATGTTCAATGATTTTTTCTGCCTCTACGGTATGCAGACGATCAGTGGATGGCCGGAGATTATTGGTATGCGTAACTCCGGTACGTCCTTTGAAACAGTTGGTCGAGAAATGAATGTCTACTATACAGTTGCCAGTCGTTTGGTCATAAAATACGGGGAAAACAATGAGGTGAAGGATCCGACACGTCCTGGACCACCCAGGGTGACGCCAGGTCGTGAAGACAAGGCACCATTGAGGTTCATCTCGACGACAACCATTGTACACTAAACGCCAAAACATACGCTACCCTCCCACCTTTATGAATTAATTAAAAACTATTAAAGATGGAAATACGAAAAGAAATTCTCAAATGCATACATATTTAGGTGAAATGCATCTTTTTCAGAAGAGTTAAATTGTCCTATTTTCGACCATACCGAAAAAAACATATAACAGTGATGTAGATGTCCAAATGAAAGGTTGAAATAAAATTTTGCTTTGAGACAAAGATAAACCATTTAAAGTCACCATTTTTCAACTATCAAAACAAGAGACAACAGTTGTAGAGTGTGTAACATTGTAAAAGAATCATTCCTGTGATTCAGTGTTTTAAAACATTTTCTGCTGATTTGCATTAGTGAAAACAAGTACAACGTGTCTTTGATATTGTCAAAAAGTGTTTTGGAACACCTAAAATTATCTTTGTTAACATGTTTACTTGCAAAGTAAAAATTTTTCATTTTCTGTTTACACATAGCAATATCAATCGCCAAAACGTTGCAATATTCAAGCAGTATTTGCATCAATTTCAGGTGTAGAATGATTGTATAGTTCCATCCTCACTTGAGCAGATTTTAAGAAATTCAGTAAGGAAGGGGGGTAACGTTTCTTTTGGCGTTTAGTGTATAGATTCAGAATGCTTAGCATTTGGATATTGCATCTGAGGGATAAGTATATGTATTTGGTAAATGTCTGTGTTCAATTTTATTCATACGTATCCAGATGTGGTCCACCTTGACAAGAGCTTGGCAATTGACAGCTGTTTGTTTACATAGCAACGGTGCTATCTTCTTACAACTGCTTTTGTGTAGTTTGCTGCAAACAAAGCTTTGGTCCCTTTTTTTGGACACCCTCAAAAACATTTTTCACCATTCTTGATTTTTCTTGGGTTTTGTGTACATAATAAATAGAGACTTGTGAACAATCTTCTGCAATAATTAACTTGTTATCACAAATGCCTAGGAAATGAAACCTTGGGTCTCGTGGTATACATGTTCATCCATCCTGTAAACTCCCATACATCCAGCTATTGACACATGCAGACATAATATAATTGGGTCCTAGTCAAATTGGCCACAAAACATCAAAGTCAAAATGGCCACAAAAAAGTCAAAATGGCCACAAACCCTAGTCAAAATGGCCACATCAAAAAGTCAAAATGGCCACACATTATTTTTTATATTTTTTAATACTCATAACATTTTCCCATGTTGCATCATTTGATTTCAAAACCCCAGACCTCGCATGAAGATGACCTGAAAAGTATAAGAACAATTGCAATAAACACAGAGATTAACAATTAATTGACCAATTGCGGCTTAATTAGTTAACGAGGTACTTCTGGATTTACATCTTAATTATGGTTACACAATGTATGTAATCACATGTTGATTAGTAATTAACGAGCCAATTAAAGAATAAGTGGTCATTTTTTTAATACCTGTGCATCTTACCTTCATCTTCACTTGTGCCTCCTGAAGTTTACCAGGCTCTATGGGATTGGAGTGTGGCGAAGAGCCCTCAGTAAAGGTGCCCTGGTCACTTATTGACATGAATGTTATCAAAACACTATAGCTACCCAATGATCATAGGGTTTTGAAATTTACATCTAAAAGTATTGATTAAGAAAACATTGCGAGAGTAACTAAACAGCTCAAAGTATTACATAAGAAAACATCTCAAAGTACAGGCCAAAAAAAACCATCTCAAAATATTAAATAAGTAACAATCTCAAAGTTAAGAAAGCATTTCAAGAACAATACTCATTAATATGCAAAAAACATAATGTATGGCCATTTTGACTTTTTCTACGGCCATTTTGACTTTTTGGTATGGCCATTTTGACTAGGGGTTGTGGCCATTTTGACTTTTGTGTGTGGCCATTTTGACTTTTTTTGTGTGGCCATTTTGACCTGTTCCATTATAATTTACTTCTCATGGCTGTAAATAACACTAAACATTAATAGTGGAACGTACATACGAAGATGACAGCAGCATTCACATACAACTGAGAAAAGGCAAATTGACATATACAATAACATATTTATCTGCATAATAAATGCTTTCTTCTTTGATATATTTCAAAATAGGTCTTGGATATTTAAACATAGTTTTATTAAATAAACAGTGAGTATAAGGGTCTTACTTTGGGAACAGCCCAAATAACAACAAAGCCTTATAAGACACATTACTAATAAACTTTTAATTCTGAAATACCAAATATAAAATGTTATTTTCCTGCTTCTCTTCACTGACCTGAGCACTTCGACTTATCCGTTTTGATCCAAGGTTGCTTGACCACTTTGGTCTTCGCTGTTTTGGAATAATGAGATTACCATAGACGGGTCCCAGTAATAATGTCTTGAGATTGCTCTGTACAATATCACATTGTTAATAAGCTTAACACAATTAATATTAATTAATTAATCATTTATTGTTGTAATAAATTTGTTGTGTCATGATAATAGGTATGTTTTCATGCTTATCCGTAATGCATCATTCAAGATGTCAGCGCCCATATGCACAGATTGCGCATAGCAGCGTCACTCAATATTGTTTCACTGATAAGCCAATACACCATTTTCCATCGCCAGCGAACATGTGTGACGTTGGGAACGTTGACGTGAAAAGTACAAGTGAGGTTGTCATGACTCACAGTGAATTATCAGAGTCAAAATTGAAGACGGAACCAGAAATACTTGTAGAAACAGAATTTCCCGGAACTAAAAGTGGTTTTAAAAACGCACTGTCGGTGTACATAAACAAACCTCATGTTGTCAACAGGAGATTATGTGGTGCAAAGATTGTATTTTTACGTTGGTATCCAGTTTGTAAGGAACACGAAGTCAGTTCTTTGTTGGAACACTTTACCAAAGCAGACGACATTTGTGATGAAGGGGAGGCAACCCATGCCATCACTCCCGCAGACGAAGATGTAGATCTAGATTCCTATGACGAAGGAGTGGTGATCATTGTGAGGGATCTCATTCCCAGACAGATTGATAAATACCCAACTCTGCGAGAACTTGTTCATTATGGTAATGACGTTATTTGTTTTTAATTAGGTGAAATCATGTAAATTTGACAGTTTTATCAAGCTTATCAAGTTTGTACAAGTCACAGTTTGTCAACAAGCAAACTGTGACTTGTAATAACTTGTTTGAGGAAAAAAGGCTACGTTTTGTTGTGTTTCGTGTTTATCATTGTGTGTTTGTAATTGTTTTTGTTTGCCTTCAGATTGCTCAAGTGATTCCATACTGTTCATTCCTGTTTGTCATGTGAAGTCGTCCCCTCCTCACGAGCAGGACGTGAATGAGGATACATACAAGTTTACTTACAAAAGTGGAGACACAACAAGGTGGGGTGTTTACGTAGCAACACAACAAATTTGTGAACTTACATAGAAATAGGGGATACAAATGGCACAGCTGTGCTGAAGGAGCCGTTGTCAGCACCACAGATTATGTACCCCAATGTGTTAGATGAAATGTTTTCATAAGCATAATTTGACGAAATATGATAATTCATGGGGATTCCCGTGATTTTGAATAAAGCATGTCCGAAATTCAGTTCATTGGGTAGCTGAAGCTAATTTGAATCCAGTGATAAAATGGCATTGGCTGGACAACTGTAAGTTGAAGTCTTGTCAGATTCACTCTGCAAGGTGAGACCCATTTTGCTCCCATACAGATCTTGATTAATGATCAGATATTCTTGAACTGGGTGCTGCCATTTGTTTGAAGCAAATGCTAGCAATGTTAGAAGTAGATTCGCTTGACTCATGATTGCCACTGGTTCCACTACTGTTGAGCCACGAAATTACTACCTGGTTTGGCAAGGTTGGAGACTTGACATTAACAGTCTCTGAACTCCCTTGCTTGAGGAAGAGTGAGAGAGTGAGTGAGTGAGTGAGTGAGTTTAGTTTTACGCAGCTTTAGCAATATTCCAGTATTATCATTGTGTGGGACACCAGAGATGGGCTTCACACGCTTTACCATGTGGGGAATTGAACCCGGGTCTTCGGCATGATGGATGAATTCTTTAACCACAAGGCTACCCCACAGCCCTACATCAGGAAGAAGAATCAAGACTGATATTATAGTGTTTCCATCTTCAGGGTGCAGCTGTCTGTCAGGTCTAACAAAGACTCAGGTCATGTGACCTGGAGGTGGCTGAGCGATGTCCTGCTGCAGAAGATTGTGAGATGGGGCCAGGAGGAGACGCTACGAACAGCGACGTCATCTCTGAGACTGGTGCCTGTTGACGAATACAACAGACTGTACAATGATCTCAAGGTCAAATATGGCCATCCATTTGTTGAGGTGAGTAGGTTTAAATGGGAAGATGAATTATGCTAACAGTTTTTGTTATGTATGTTTCCATTGTGACTAAATTATACATGTTAGAAGAGACATTCAATAAATATATTTTTCATTTTTTGACAGAAGTGGCCAGAGAAGACAGATCCAAAGAAATTTGTGTATGAAGATGTTGCCATAGCAACCTACCTTCTAGTAATGTACACTTTTGAATTATTTCTTTTTCATAAAAGACTTTCAGTGTTTGACTCTTTATGCTTTATGAATATGTCAAAATATTTTTCTGAATATGCTTTTTCACAACTATTGTACCTGTGGAGATCCAGGTTGGAATTGGTCTTCAGCAACCCATGCTTGGAAAAGCAGTGACTAACAGGATCGGGTGACTCGGTTGACACATGTCATCGTATCCCAACTGTGTAGATCTATGCTCATGAAGTTGATCACTGGATTGTCTGGTCAAGACATTATAATTTACAGACAGCAGCTGGAATATTGCTGAGTGCAGCGTTAAACAATAAACAAACAAAAAAAGCGTTTAGCAGGTCAGAACAGTGACTGAAAGGATCAGGTTGTCACACTCAATGACTTCGTTGGTTGCATTCCATTGTATCAACTGCATCGGTCGATGATCATGACATCAGTCACTGGGTTGTCTGGTTCAGACTTGAATATTTTCAGATCACCCGCATATAGCCAGAGTATTACTGTGTGTGACATTAATCAAATAATTTTAGAAAGGAGCCGAGGCTTGTGCAGGAGCTAGACCATGATTTTAGTTTTAAATAACATGCAGACATGAAAGACACAAGAATATATTAGTTGATGTTGTTTGAAAGGAAGGGTTAAGAAATGGGAAGATGTGGATGTGGGAATGGCATTGACAACTCCAGATAAGTGGCAAATCTATAACTTATGTCATGGGTTAACACTTTCTCAGTAAAGTACAGATTCTAGTAACTTTGTTAAGTTGAGTCCCATACAGGAGTCAAACTCTTCTCTCCTAGAGTGAGTCAGCCAAAGTCAGCGATCTAACCCATAGAGTGGAATTCAGACTGGTATTGTGCAGAAACCACGCGAATGAGTCGGTTAGATCGCTGACTTTCCATGCTGGTGATTAGTTCCTGACTCTGAAAGTGTGGGTTTGGATCCCAGATGGGACTCAACCAAACGAAAGTACTAGAATCTGTACTTTACTGAGAAAGTGTAATCCCATGTATAACATATGTTACATTTGACCACTTTCTAAATTACACTGTGCATTCATAGCTGCTCACTCTAATCAGTGTTGAGCTGCATGTGTAGAAACACATATGAAAAATAGTTCACCAATGCTGAGTGTATAATGTATCTGTCTTGTTACATCAGCTGATATGGAAGGCAGACCGAGAGAAGCAAGGCGTGACACAGCGGCAATCCTTCGTTGATCTGGGGTGTGGCAACGGTCTCCTGGTACATATACTGGCAGCTGAAGGGGTGAGGCTAACACCAGCAGGAGCATACAGAAATGTATCTAGCTCCGAGGCTGATAATACATCCCAAGTCTGAAGTGAATGTCTGTAAAACTGACGTATTGGAATTGGTCCCAGTTCTTGTTATAGTTTTAACAAGTGTTATAGCTTTATAGAGGTGACTTGTATTTCACAGGCATCAGATGAAAAGCAGCAAGTGTGGCTTTAAGGCTAAGTTGAATGCAATGTTAAATACTTCTGAATTTTAGGTAATAGGAACTTTACAAGTTCCTAATTTTGAAAAACAAATTTCCAGTTTGACAGAAATAAGCACTTACTTTAAAATAGTAGACATTTCCCTTGGTACCTCCATTGGTGCATACATTTGATGAGAACTGGGCCCAAGTTCCAACTGTACAACCCATACATTCAACAGAGATGGTCACTGCACACTGCATCTGCTATTTTGATATGCCTCATGACAGCTTATTTTGTTTTGAATGATAGGTAAATACGAGAAGAAGGTGCTAACAGAATTATTAATCAGTGAAACCCATTAAAACGATTTAAGTATGTCACCATGCGTACTGATTGGTGACATAAAGATCGCAACTCTGGTGGTCAGACTTGATGACTTGGTTGCTTACTGGAACACATTTAAGCGATTTAAGTAGGATTTCTGTTAGTAGATGCTAGGTATACAGTTGTACAGTGATCTATTGACGATGTTGCAGCACCGAGGCCTTGGATTAGACATCCGGAGGAGAGGTATCTGGGATATGTACGGATCTGAAACAATTCTCAAGGTAATCTCTGAGAAAACGTTTATATTGTAGTGTTGAGTGGAGACAGTTAGTAATAATGTATGGACTGAGTTAGCAGTAATGTTGTGTAGAGTTAGTTGGTAGTAATGTGTGTAGAGTGAGTTAGCAGTAATGTTGTGTGAAGTGAGTTAGCAGTAATGTTGTGTGAAGTGAGTAAGCAGTAATGTTGTGTGAAGTGAGTTAGCAGTAATGTTGTGTGAAGTGAGTTAGCAGTAATGTTGTGTGAGGTGAGTTAGCAGTAATGCTGTGTGTGTAGCAGTAATGTTGTGAGAGTGAGTTAGCAGTAATGTTGTGTGAAGTGAGTTAGCAGTAATGTTGTGTGAAGTGAGTTAGCAGTAATGTTGTGTAGAGTGAGTTAGCAGTAATGTTGTGTGAAGTGAGTTAGCAGTAATGTTGTGTGAAGTGAGTTAGCAGTAATGTTGTGTGAAGTGAGTTAGCAGTAATGTTGTGTAGAGTGAGTTAGCAGTAATGTTGTGTAGAGTGAGTTAGCAGTAATGTTGTGTAGAGTGAGTTAGCAGTAATGTTGTGTAGAGTGAGTGAGTAGTAATGTTGTGTAGAGTTAGTTAACAGTAATGTGTGAAGTGAGTTAGCAGTAATGTGTGAAGTGAGTTAGCAGTAATGTTGTGTAGAGTGAGTTAGCAGTAATGTTGTGTAGAGTGAGTTAGCAGTAATGTTGTGTAGAGTGAGTTAGCAGTAATGTTGTGTGAAGTGAGTTAGCAGTAATGTTGTGTGAAGTGAGTTAGCAGTAATGTTGTGTGAAGTGAGTTAGCAGTAATGCAATGTGTGAAGTGAGTTAGCATGTTGTGTAATGTTGTGTAGAGTGAGTTAGCAGTAATGTGTGTGTGAGTGATCCAGTGAGTTAGCAGTAATGTTGTGTATTGGCTGCCATGGATACCACTAATGGCAGCAAGGTATATACAGTACAACCAGAAATTATTGAGAATATAAAGATTGTAATTTTTTATATTTTTCACTCATTACTCACGTATTAAATGTGAATATTAGCAGAACATAACTCCAGTTACAAAGACAATTGAACAGTTAGTATTTTGTCAAGTCACCATGGGCAGCAATGCAGCTTTCAATGTAGCGGGCATACTACTGATCAAAGAAGTTAAGAAAGTCAAAATAGTCCATGCTGTCCCAATATCCGGACCACCTCTTCTTTCATTTCAGCAATATTTGTCAGATTTTTCTTATTGACACTTTCCTTCATAAGTCCCCAATCATTTTCTACTGGGTTTAGGACAGGGCTATAGCTTGGCCAATCTAATAATGTCATATTTTGGAGTCCGAAACCAGGCCTGTAGATACTTTGAACAATGTTTTGGGTCATTGTCCTGCTGGAAAATATTTTTTTCCCATAGAACACGTATGAAAAGAAAATAACAACCAGTAGACTGTCAGAATGTTTTGGACTACTTACATGTCACATTTATGCATATACGTTGCTTGAAACAACGAAAGTTTCCTTCGTGTCAGTGAACATGCCATTTTGAAAAAGTCGCTTCCCGATAGTGATGTCATACGTATGTCAACATTGTTACACATGTTTGGTATTTTCATTGACGTGAGGTTATGAATGAAAATACACACAATCAATCTGTCCTGTTGTTTACATTTTCTGTTCTTATGCTTCTTTTGTATTTTCACAAACTTTTTCACTTGATTATTTTCACTATTAATATCTTTTGATTTGGGACTAGACAGGAGACCAGTCTAAAATCAAGTGGCACCAATAACGTCATAATCAAAGGGTGGTAACTCTGGCCTGTTTAGCTCGGCAAACAAAGGCTTCACAATGGCATAACATTTCAGCACTTATTTTGAGGGTTATACTTTCATTGTAACAAAAATGAGTGTATATTTTAAAACATTGATATTAACTAATTAAAAAATTCACTGTGATTCATATAAGAATAAATTTGATTTATTTGTGTACACCTCCCCTTTAACCCTACTCAGCAATATTCCAGCTATATTGCGGCCATCTGTAAATAATCGAGTCCAGACCAGACAATTCAGTGATCAACAGCATGAACATGAATCTACGCAAATGGAATACGATGACATGTGTCAACCAAGTCAGTGAGCCTGACTACCCGATCCTGTTAGTCGCCTCTTATGACAAGCATGGGTTACTGAAGATCAGTTCTAACCCGGATCTTCATGGGTGCTGAAATGTGATTTGGGTGGTCAGTCTCTGTGACTTGGTTGATTTCATGTGAAGGTGTTTGTAAGGTGTGCACTGATGCTAACACTACCTGCCACTGGATTATCAGGTCCACATGCAATTGTTTACAATCTGCCATCATATTGCAAGAATATTGTTGAGTGCTGATTTAAGCAACAAAATTCCATAAAACTGCATCTCTACAGTAAATTATTTTCTTCATTAAAGTACCTTTCTATGATTTTTTCCATGTCTTTATTCCAGGAACAGACAGTTATTCCATCAGCAGACAGCTTGTTTCCAACATACGATTGGTTGATTGGTAACCATAGTGATGAGTTGACGCCATGGATACCACTAATGGCTGCAAGGTATATACAGTACAACCAGAAATTATTGAGAATATAAAGATTGTAATTTTTTTATATATTTTTCACTCATTTCTCACGTATTAAATGTGAATATTAGCAGAATATAACTCCAGATTCAAAGACAGGTGAACAGTTAGTATTTTGTCAAGTCACCACGGGCAGCAATGCAGGCTACAATGTGGCGGGGTATACTACTGATCAAAGAAGTTAAAAAGTCGTGGTCCATGCTGTCCCAATATCGGACCACCTCTTCTTTCATTTCAGCAATATTTGTCAGATTTTTCTTATTGACACTTTCCTTCATAAGTCCCCAAACATTTTCTACTGGGTTTAGGACAGGGCTATAGCTTGGCCAATTTAATAATGTCATATTTTGGGTCCGAAACCAGGCCTGTGAATGCTTTGAACGATGTTTTGGGTCGTTGTCCTGCTGGAAAATAATTTTTTTTTCCATAGAACACGTGAGCAGATGGAAGTAAATATCCCTCGAGAATATCTGTGTACGGCTCACTGTTCATATTCCCTTCAAATACACAGAGGGGCGTTGCCCCTAACACAGATATGCCACCCACACTTTAAATTTCGGACTGTACTTTGGGCGCTGATACAAAGGTTTTTCAGTTTGTTTGGTCCAGAATTTCAGTATATTAGGAAACAGCCACACAGAACTTTCATCTGAGAAAATCACATTGTCCCAGTTAAAATTTCTATGCTGTAAGCACCAGTTCAACCTTCGCTCCTTTGGTTCAGGTTTCATGATTGGTGATGGAATTCCTCGACTTTTCTGCCAACCCATTGTATGCAGCTCAGCTCTAATTGTCTCCTTACAGACAGCCACAGTTCCTCTATCAATCATATCCAGCCTTAAGTTTTCTAAACTCCTTCGTTTGTTTTTAGAAACAAGAACACCAAGCCGCCTCCTGTCACCGACAGTCAAATTTCTGGGCCTACCTGCGTCTCCCTGGTGCTCAATGCCATATCCATTTGCAATATTTTTCAAAACACGATAAACAGTGGACAAAGGAATGCCTGTTCTACTTGAAATCATTTTAGCTGATCTGATGTCCTTGTTATAATACTCTAAAATCAACTTCCTCTTCTCTAAATCATCCATACTGAGGATCACTGAAAATGGCGTCTGCTGTCAAGTAAATAAATGGGGATAACTCTTCACAAACTAATGAAAAAGGCTTAAAAGAGTTGTCGTTCTTGAATGACACCAAGCACTTGATAGCTGGTCAAGGTTGTTTATACTAGAAATCCAATTAAACATATTCCTAAAATGCTCAATAATTTCTGGTCATACTATAAGTGAACTATGTGTGTCTCTGTCATGCATTTGTTTCAAGCCTGATTCAGATGGCACAATATAGAAAACAGCCATCCAATGAAATTACCCAGTTCTGTCTTAAATACAACAAACAGTGATATTCAACCCGCGAAGATCCGGGTAAGAATGGTCTTCAGCATGTCTTGGTTGACACATATCATTGTATCCCAATGCGTAGACCACTGGGTTGTCTGGTTCAAACTTGATTATTTACAGACAGCAGCCATATATAGAGGATATTATATGAGTGCCCATGTCATACCATGTTTACGACACGAGTGCTTAAATGTTGGTATTTCCCGAGCGAGACCGAGGGCACGAATATAATATTCTGTTTATTACCGAAGTCATCAAGTTGAGGAAAATTAACCCAAATCTACTTTCAAACACAGGCTGGCTACCTGCCGTCGCTTCATGTAGAACGCAACGTCACAGAAGAAACGTGACGTCATAGCCTTGTTCATGACGTCATGTTACCATGACAAAGTGATATTTTGCCCTAGGGCATCGTATGAAAAATATGAACCCACGATAGGTTCGCCCTCGTAGGTAATAAAGCTGGAATATTGCTGAAAGCTTCGTTAAACAGTAAACCAAACAAACAGTGATATCACCGGTACTTGACACTAGTGCTCATGCTGGTTAACTATGATGATTGCAAGTGTGTGTCATTGCATTCTGATGTTATGTGACATCTGTCATGGGTTTGTTTGGTCTGGATTTGGTTTTAATTAGGGCACTATGACATATAAAAGTCAAATATTGCCAATTGTCATAAGAAACAAACAAGATCTTACCTTATCTTTGGTTTATAAAGATTTTTCCTTAGTTGCTCTTATTCTTCATGCCTCTGTTCAGCAGCTGATATTTTCTTCTCCCTGAATTGAACAGGTCCTTGACAATACCGCTGCTGTTAACTTCTCCATGGTTTGAACAGATCCTGCTAAGCTGCTTCTAACTTGCCCTCCCTGTATTTAACTAATCCTCCAAAAGCTGCCGTTACTTTCTCCTCCCAGTGTTCAACAGATCCTCCTGAAGTTGCTGTTACCTTGTCCTCAGTGTTTTAAACAGATCCTCCTAAATTGCTGTGACTTTGTACTCCCTGTTGTAAACGCATCCTCCTAAAGCTAAAGTTTAATAGATCATCCTGAAGCTGCTGTCACCTTGTCCTCTTAAAGCTAAAGCTGCTGTTACCTTGTCCTCCCTGTCTTCAACAGATCCTCCTACAGCTGCAGTTATTTTGTCCTCCCCTGCTGTCTTCATGACTTTGACAAGAAGTTCAGTGAGAGAGAAAAGGGTACCTCTCCGTAGCGGACTTACCTAAACTTTGTGAAGGAGGTGGGGGAGGTATGCGGCTTCAAGGTGGAGGAGGACACTCTCAGGATACCCTCAACAAAGCGAGTAAGTGTTGATCAGTAGTGAATTGTGTGTAGCCTGACGGGGCGCCTGGGAGCATCATCTCATTTCTGCTATGATTGGGTGGGCTCTTTGTTCCCTGACCAATAAGAGTTTTGCATGGTAAAGAGAAATGGGCCCTGTGTTAGACATCTCTCCTTCCATCCACACTTTCTTTGTGCAACATTGTTCACCCATCAGTCATTCACTGCTTTTCGCTTTTTAGAATATTTTAATTTTGATTTTTTTTTGGTGGGGGGGTTGTTGCCATGGCACCTAATTGGATATTTATGGTCGAATATTACTTTGTGAAAGTATACAAATAGTACATTTTGCTAATGAGGAAGTTTCTTAAATTGTTACTTTTGTGGTATGTGTGTCCTTGGCAAATGAGGACAGGGACAGTTTTTTGTTGCATAGCTGTTAATTCAGTGGGTTTTTAAGCTTGTATACCCAGGTAATTGCTGAACTGGTCCCATTCAGGGTTTGACAAATATCAGGATCTTCCTTGCCATGTTAAAAATTGCATATTTGATAAAAAGTAAGAAACAATAATATGCAGACTGAAATCTGGACTATGCCAGTGTTTTCCAGTGCTGGAAATAGAACAGCCTTCATGGCAAGCTCTCCTTGGCAGAGATATCAGTATAAAGATGCAATAATTTCCAGATGAGTTGCCTTGTATTTGCTACAACCAGGGTAACAGGCATTTTGAATATTCAACCTGAATTTATCACTTCAAGCTAATGTTATGGTTGATTTTTCAGGTGTGTTTTATTGGGCGAGGGAGAACGTACTCTGAGAAAGAAGAGTCTCTCCAAGACACCACACGGACACTCTTCGTTCAGAGTCGATGTGTACAAGAGAAACCTGAATCCAACTCTCCATGTTGTAAGAAGCCACGATTGAATATCTCAGAATCTGGGAAGGGATGGTCTGCCAAGTTTGAGCCTCGGCAGAGTGAGGAGCCAGTTCGAAATTGTCAGAAAGTTGCCACAGCAACCAAACAGGCCATTGTGAAGACTGTTTTTGAGAAGATTCTTGTGGCACCGGATGGGGAGGTTGTCTCCCTTGATGATGGAAAACACTGGAGAAAAGGAGGTAGGATTGCTATCAGAATTACAACCATAATAGTTTTGCAATGTCTTTATGTGACAGAAATTGTAGTGTCAAGTCAGAATAGGACATGTGCAAGGTCGATAGATTATATACTTGTCATGAGATTGAGTTAACTGGAGATCCTTCACATCATCAAATTCACTCCAGGAAAGAACTTGTACCTTGTAAACATTGTAACCAATGCTCGTCTTTGATTCAGCTGAATGGATGAGGTGGGGCAACTAGGCAAATTTGGTTAATTCAATGACTTTGTTCCCAGATGGTGTGTTACATACTTACAGACCAAGAAAATTAACAAATGAATCGATAAAATGAAGAGTTTTTTCCAGGGCACTTTCTGTATATATTAAATTTTGTAAGAGGAACTACACTTATAATAAACTAATTAGTAGCCCCCCTTGAGTTGACTATAACACTGTGTTTAAGAATTCTGTGATGTCGGTAAAATATGACCTACTGATGATAAACATAATTCACTCACTCACTCTCCCTGCCAGGTAGCCTGCCGTAGTGCGAGGTGGCACAGCTGTTTGACCAGGACATCCTGCAGCAGTTGAAGGCAGAGAGCGGAGGCATGCAGACACTGCTCAGGAACCACAACAGTGTATTTCAAGGTAAACTATGTTTAGTCTGAATTGGATTGGGTAATGCTTTGTAAATGTAAATGTCCCTTAGCCAATTCAGAATAGAAACAGGTACCCTGGTGTTGATGTTGTCTGTGGAATCCAGCATATCCTGATTCCTTCTAGAAGCTGTAACTGTATCAGAGATTAACTTTTAAATTTATTTGACATTCTGTTTTGTCATACATGCAAAATTTGAGTTTTTTTAAAGCTATTCATATTTCTTTCCAGGGTGGTTGGGAAGCCTAATGGATAAAGCATTTGCTTGTCACTCTGGAATCATGGGTTTGACTCCCCACATGGCTTCAATGTGTGAAGCCAATTTCTGGTGTCCCCCACCCTCATATTGCTGAAATATTGCTGAAAGCGGCACAAAACTGAACTCACTCATTCTGTCCAAGGTATTTTAATAATTAAGGCCTTTTACACATCCATTTTCATAAGGCTATTCAAGCCTTTATTAACCCTTTTTGTGGTCAAACAGATGGACTTCTATATGTGCATTACTGTTTTGAAATTCTCAATTCTCCTGTTGCATCTGCAGTGTCTGGAGGGCGAGTGCGTCTCCGCGACTTCTCACAAGCCGACCCTTGGAGTCAGTCCCGCAAAGCCAAGAACAAGAAGATGTTGGCTGCAGACCATCACAAGACATCACTGTGCTGGTTCCATGCCAACCACCCAGATGGCTGCCCACGCTCAGCTGACAAGTGTGACTTTGCACACGGACAACAGGAGTTACGAGGAAAGCCTCCACTTGGAAAATAATGCGCGCCTTGTTAACATATGTGTGCCAACCTGTGTCTTTCATAAAGGGTGCTTTGAGGTGCAAGAACAGTGTGAAGAGCTGTGTCCACCAGAATACTTGGTAAAACTGAAGGGCTCATTTGTCCCATTTATGATCATGGACTGTCGGGGCCGTGTGGGGTAGCCTAGTGGTTAAAGCGTTCACTTGTCTGGGCGAAAACCCTGGTTCCATGCCCCACATGGATACAATGTGTGAAACCCATTTGTGGTGTCCCCAGCCATAACATTGCTAAAAGCAGCGTACGCTCGCACTCACGCACACACACTCAGAGAGTTTTATAAGAGCATTATTGTTAACAGCAGCGTTCATACCAAGATTGTCATGGAGGACAAATTGTACCACAATTATTTGTGCTGGAGCATTTGATCGAATAATTGGTCAATTGATCGATCTTGCTTGCATCAGTAATGATTTATGGGCTCAAGAGACTTATCAATTTTCATAAAAAATGAACCATCAAATTACACTTTAGCAAGTATGTCTCTTTTTTGTTGTGTTTGTTAAATCAAGACAAACAACTGATGCAGTATCCTGACTCGTAAACCTGCAGTGTAAACAACATACCCATGTGTCAGAGATGCCAACCCTGAATCAAATGAAAGCTGGGTCATACCATGCTAAAAGCAATTCCCGAGCCCTGAAGGTGCGAGTTGGGGGTGAGCGTGAAAGAGGGCTCAGGCTCCTTTTGACAGTGGGGGTCTGGGGGGCCTCCCCTATGAAAATCTTTTGATTTAGCCTGGAAATATGCAATTTCTGGGCATACTTAACTTGATAATACTTAACTCAAATGAACATATTTAAATGGCTATTTACTAAAATTCTTCCAAACATTATAAATTTGTAAACATATTTGTATTTTCTAAAAATTCGGATTTTTTATAAACAAATCGGAGAGTGGATTTTGTATTTGAAAATCGGAGTAACTCCTCCAAAATCGGAGCAGTCTGCATGTGTGTGTGTTAACAGGAAGTATCCTTGATCATCTTGATCGTGGTATTAATCGGTGCCTGTTTCGTTTCATAATGTCCTGTTATTGCCTACAAATGGTGGGGTTTACGATAACAATTGATTACTGAGCTATTATCAATCTGCATATTGTGAGCAATAACCAGCATTTATTATTATGCATTTCTCAGCATATGACAGGATGTGTAATGAAGTCAGTTCTTTCCATTTAAAGTTTGGAGGAATATTGATCATAAAGTAAGCAATTTGTGTGTGTGGTCCATAGAACTACATAAATCTTAGATTGAAATTTACATGAATTTAAAAAAATATGTCAATGATTTGGAAAAACTAATTCATAAATATATTGTGACCTTTTGAAAATCACACATGTAATACTCCAAGTACATCAGGTCTGTCCTTTTCTGTCATTTCCTTCTCGACTGTGAATTGCTCTGGGCTCCATCCTGTAGTATGGAGAACCCGATCCATATTTTAACGGAATAATAACAAACAATGAGTACATGTGATGAATTTACTCATTAACAAGTTCTCCCTCAGGGACCATATATTGCTTGACACCATGACGATCAGGCAGCACATGCTACATAAACAGGCTGGACTTGCATGGGCTACCACGAAGTACAGGTCAAACCAGAAGCTTACAGACATTCATACATCACATATACTGGTAACTCAGTGGATACGAGGGATATACCATGAATCTCCTCGTATCCACCAGCAGCTTTGTGTGGGATATCGTGAGCATCTCACATTCACCAGCAGCTGTGTAGGGGCTTATCTCGAATCAATTCATTTACACCAACACTTGTATATGGTCAAATCAGGAATCTCACTCATAGGATACAAGGAATCTCCCCCCATACAACAAGATCAGTGATTGCAGTATGTAAGGAATCTCCTTGCATCCATACATAGAAGTGCTGAAAGCAAATTGGGAATACCAATGGAGCAGTGTTGCTAGCATACTAGAAACCACTGTCTCATGTACAAAGTAGGCATTAAGTCAGGAAGTGCAAGCTCAATCTCTCAATATAAAGTATGTAACTTAGCAGTGCTTGGAGCATACCTGGACTTCTTTGTATACCCCTAGCAGTGCTTGGAGCATACCAGAAACCTCCTCATATACCCATATCAGTGCCTAGAGCAAACCAGGAAGTTCCTGGTCTGAATTCAGCTGGGTTTAGAACATTCCATGAACATCCTGATATACATGTAGCAGTGCTTGGAGCATACCAGGAACGTCCCTGTAACTGGAGCATACCAGGAACGTCCCTGTAACTGTAGCAGTGCCTGGAGCATACCAGGAACGTCCCTGTAACTGTAGCAGTGCCTGGAACATTTCGTAATATCAACAAACACATAAGGAGCTGTGTGTGGTGCATACCATGACCATGTTAGTATACACAAGCTGCACTGAACATTCCAAGCATGTCTGGAAGATCAGAGCTGAGTGTGGGAAACCAGCTTCACATTCTGGGTTCTGTTCATATCATTGTCAACATTTCATTGAAAGGGCACACAATGTTTCTCAATATCAATATTGAAGCTCGAAGTTCTAAATTCCCATAATTTGGCTATCAGGAACGTTGGAGTATGTATGTACAAGTCCTTGCATAGACAGCACTCGGATTTCATGTTACAGCTATCAGATGCCTTCAGCTTAACCTGCAAGTGAGGCAGGCTTCCAGGACTCAGTTTGTGATTGATACAGTTGGATTATGAACTGGCAATGGAAATGACACAACATGCAGCTATGTACAGATGTGCAGAGTGATAGCTCCACTATCAAGGAGCTCTGTCCCATGTGCACAGTGTGTCCAGGAAATATAAGGCAACCAAATAGTGACAATACTACTCAACACATGTTAGGGATCAGTTCATGGTCAACCTGGATCCTTACAAATGTTCAACAGTATAAATATGACCCGCGCAAGTCTCTCAGTATCTAGGAAGTTCATTCCATAATGCCAAATCATATAAAATACTTGTATAATCAAGGGTAAATTCACGCCCCTCAGTCCGGAGCCTATGAAAAAGAAAATCACATTGCAAATCTCCTTGTATTACAATTCATACAGATTGTAATATTTGATGCTAATATCTGATGCTAAAAAAGGCAGCAAACCAGTATGATATGTGTGATATCACACATGAACTTGCATAACGTTACACAATGATATCTTTATGACTGGAGTTATCTCCCTTTACAGAAATGCAAAAAGTATTCCTTTAGCAAACGTGAATGTTATCATATTTGGCAAACATGGTTAATATAAAACACATTACCAATATTCATTACATATCAGGGCTTAATCAGGGAATAATATCAGGGCTTGTCACTGAATCCCACATGATTTGAATAACGCTGAATTGTGGCTGTCAATTTGACACCGCATCAACTACCCAAAACCTGTTGTCAACACAGTGTCAGGATACAACGGAGGCCTAGTAAGGGTCCAAAACTTAATTCCTTTACAATGGCAGGAATCACATGAAGGACTGGGCATTTTGTTGAAGAGGGGTGGAGCAGCGAGACCTGGCCTTAGGGCAATATCCTATTTTGCCAATCTTCCTAAAAATATGTATAATATCCCTACAAAAAATGACCAGACACTAAATAATGTTCAAGTTAATTAAAAAAATATTGAAAAATGTAAAATGTTATTCCTCCTCCCCATCTTTTATGTCATTCTCCATAACCTATTTCTCCATAACCCACCCTATTTCACAGGCGGGTGTTCCTATAATAAATGCCCAGTCCCATGTAATAATCATGTAATAATCACATATACAATCATCATATTATCAAATGTATCCTGGAAGTACATTTTTCACAAGTTCCTCACCCAATCAACATACAGACAAACAACCTGTATTCATCTAAAGTAACAGATTCCAAGACACAACTTGACTGTCACAGATTCTGAGAATAAGCTCCAAACTTATGACACAAACCTGTGTGAATGAACTGACACACAAGAAAATGACCAATCACAGAATCTGTGTGAATAAGTTGCCACACAGTGTGTGAAAGCATGGACATAAGTTTAAAGCAGATTAGTGCCCACAGGGCTAAGAGCAGTATCATATGCTGACATAGAAAAGAAGTAACCTCCCTTTCCAGGAGAAAAGCAAGTTACCTCCCTTAGCAGGAGACATTTAGAAGACTATCCTCATAAATACATTATATATTATGTCAACTAAAGATACACCATCTAACAATGAGTGTTGCTTGTGTGTAGACTACATCTCATGGCCTCTTACTATAGCAGTGATTCTGGAGGGGAAGTAATGCATGCAGACAGGAAGCAGGACAAATATCCTTTCTGGACATTGTGGAAGTCTCCAGAACACTGCTGTATAGTAGAGTAACACTGATATATTTACATAGTTCTGGAATATTTTCTTCCTGTTCACCTGTTCTAGAAAAACTGCCTGTCTGTATCCGCTGCTCCTACAAAACTAGCAATCAAGTCTCTAATTCAAATTAATTAACAACTGTGAACTGTATTTGAGAAGCACTTCATAGAAAGAGAGAAACGCCAGACAAGCATTCTATGTTATGCCATCATATCAAACCTCTTTTTTCTTGTCCAGTTAAAGGGAAATCTTTGCTTCAGGATATATATATTTTTTTAACAGCTACGATTATATTTGTTATGATGATCTGATAATCATACAGGCTGTGTGAATGATTTGAATGTTCAACTCCAGCACAAGTTGTCAGACTACAACAGGGCAAGGACTAGTGAGAATATTATCACAGAAGCTGTCTTCAAGAAGCACATCTAACACAATAAAACAACTACTATAGGGGGGCAGGCAGGCAGGGGAGGAGGGTGAGAAGGTAGTCGACAGCATAGAAGGTATGTGCTATGGGAAGAGAGCAGAAGGTTTGTTAATGTGAGGCCATGGCAGAAGAATTGTTGAGTGAGCGAGTTTAGGTTTAGGCCGCTTTTAGCAATATTTCAGCAATATCATCGCGGGGGACACCAGAAACTTGCGAAGAATTGTTGAAGGGTGGGACCAGAGCATAAAATATGTTGGAAGAATTGTCGAGGGGTTGGACCATGGCAGAATATCTATTAAAGGCTGGGATGATTGCGAAAGCTTTCTCTGGGGGCTGAAGCAATATTTGTAGTGACAAGGAGCTTATACAGAAGGTAGGTGGGGGACATTGATAGTGAAGCTGTGCTACTGAGGTATAGGCAGACTTGTGGAAAGTACACAAACCAATTGGAAATGGTAGGGCCAATACACAAGAAGTGGGTCCAGTTAGAAAAGCAAGGGAACAGGCAGGGTCCAACGGAACAGGCAGGGTCCAGTCCAAATGGGAAGAGGCCGAGCTGGGCGGACATCTGTACACTACGACAGCTACAACGCTGAATTCTATTTACATAACAAATACACTGAGACCGTGTGCAGTGCTACCAAAGTTTCATACATCCACACTTCCAGCCCTTTAGGCCAGGTTACCCTTGTATCTACAAGCTCTGTACATTAACGCACAATGTCGGATCAACAAGTACCGCTTCATCTGGAGGGGATGAACAGGTACTCCAGTGACCTTTAGATCGGAAGTTCTACACTAAGTTTTCTGCAAATCGTAAAAACAAGTCATGTCACTGCGTAGACTTCACTCATACATTAAAACAGGATTCTAGGGCTAAGAATAAGGATTTCTATTCAATATATTACTGTTTGTACAGTCATAATTTCAAACATTTTACATCTGATATCTGACAGTTTGTCCAATGATTTCACATTGGTATTGAATGATTCATTCCTGTTGTTGACTACTGAAGCCATAGATAATTAATGCTTCCCCCACAAAACATCCATATACATACTCATATGTACTCATACCGTACATTACACATTGTAATGCTGTCGTACTTCCTATACCTTTACTTATGCTACTCCAGTTTATGCGGGTATTTTCATCTTTCCGTCATGCACACAAATCATTCTCATGTCAAGTGCATGTTACACAAAATGACATATTAACCTGCTTAAAGCTAAAGTCCATATACCTATGCGGAACTTGTACTGTACAACTTTTGTACATTGTATCATGTTGCTACTGTACTGACACAACCATTAGTGTACAAATGGTAATGCACGTTATTCTCATAACCATCACTCTCATAAAAATGTCTGAAGAGTACCCACCCCAATTCAATATCCCTGAAAATCCCAGGTTTTATTGATTTGTAAAAATGTCCATTAAGAAAGCTCTTAAAAATTTTAGAAGCGGTAGAATTACTTAGCTTACAAGTTGATACCTTTCTCAAGCAGTATGGACAGCGTACCTACAAAACACTACATTGAACTAATTAAGAAATTGAAATCCGTTCGTCCACTGTAGCTTCTTTTTCAGACGGTCCTCGTGCCCAGTTCGGCTTTCTATGGACAAGATGCATCACAAGCTCTGTATACTGACATATCCTCCCCTGGGCAAACTTCGTAGCCTTTTCTCTCACATATACTGTCATATGTTTGACATGGATCTGATTATTATTCTGTGTAACTTCATACCTTTAATATACTGCTTGTGAATAATATATGGTCTGATAAAGCTCTTAGCAATATTCCAGCTATATCATGGCAGTGCATATAAAGCATGGGCTTGACAGCGTTACCATGTGGAGAACCAAACCCAGGTCTTTGGCATGATAAATGAATGCTTGAACCACTAGGCTACACTAAGTTCTTGAACTCATTGTCAGTGTAGGGTCATATTTACACAAAGTTGTAATCGGGGGATAGCTATTACGGAAGGGGCTGCAATTTTCTCCAGTCTCCTTCATGTTCGCTGTCAAGTTTCTTTATTTGTTTTTCACCGTTTCTGAATTTTATCAAGTCACTATTTTAACATGTAGTAAAGTTCATACCAATTACAGCATAACCAAGCAATACAGGATAATCAAAACACCTGTAAAAACATTGTCAGAATATAATTCTCGTATCATTCTGTAGTCTCCCAAAAACCAATGGAACTTGTATGAAGAGCACTGGAGCTCGACACTTCACAAGGTATCAACCTCCGCATGACACCACAACGGCTTCTTATAAAGGCAGTGATATCACAGGGGATAGCCTATCACAGAGCATCCGGTTGGAGCAGACTGTGATCATGGCATTGTCGTCGTCGTCTGTGGAGTGGCTGCAGACTGTGTCGACGTCTACATCACCCGTTAAGTGGCACTCAGCTATATGATTTAATGGCTGGTATCCTCTTTAATGGAAGAACAATCACTATCTCCCAAGTCAGAGTTATGTCCCCTGAGTGGGTGATTATCACAAGAATATATCGGGGCACCTGTCCCAGTTCTGTTCTTTCTTGCACAGCCAGTACTCCCCTGTGTATGTGTGGATCAGGCTCCCTGTGGTGCTGTCCACCTCCTTCCCGAAACCACTTGGGCTCATACATCTTATATTCATCACCTGCAACATATGTTCAGACATATCACCTACGTACAGCTCCACGTAAGGATCATGCAAAATTGAGAATACTGTCAACCAAATCATTGTGCCTGACAAACCCGATCTCATTAGTCTCCTCTCACAACAAGTATGGGTTGCTGACGGCCAATACTAACCTGGATCTTCACAGGTGTTAGAGATGATGCCAGAGGCTAAACATTCCACACCTTAAACACATACTTGTGTCTATAATGGCCTGCTTAAGCACTGACGTCTCCAGTCATTCATGACCTACTTAACCCAACACCCATCATCAGTCATGACCTACTTAACCCAAACATCCATCCTCAGTCATGACCTACTAACCCAAACATCCATCCTTAGTCATGACCTACTTAACCCCAACACACATCCTTAGTCATGACCTACTTAAACCAAACATCCATCTTCAGTGATGACCTACTTAACATCACCACCCACTCTCAGTCATGACTTACTTAACCCCAACACACATCCTTAGTCATGACCTACTTAACCCAAACATCCATCTTCAGTCATGACCTACTTAACCCAAACATCCATCTTCAGTCATGACCTACTTAACATCACCACCCACTCTCAGTCATGACCTACTTAACCCCAACAGACATCCTTAGTCATGACCTACTTAAACCAAACATCCATCTTCAGTAATGACCTACTTAACATCACCACCCACTCTCAGTCATGACCTACTTAAACCAAAAATCCATCTTCAGTAATGACCTACTTAACCCAAACATCCATCTTCAGTCATGACCTACTTAACCCAAACATCCATCTTCAGTAATGACCTACTTAACCAAAACATCCATCTTCAGTCATGACCTACTTAACATCACCACCCACTCTCAGTCATGACCTACTTAACCCCAACACACATCCTTAGTCATGACCTACTTAACATCACCACCCACTCTCAGTCATGACCTACTTAACCCAACACTCATCCTCAGTCATGACCTACTTAACCCCAACACCCATCATCAGTCATGACCTACTTAACCCAAACATCCATCCTCAGGCATGACCTACTTAACCCAAACATCCATCCTCAGTCATGACCTACCTAACATCACCACCCACCCTCAGTCATAACCTTCTCAAACCACCCTCAGTAATGGCCAACCCCCACCCTCAGTAATGGCCAACCCCCACCCCCTGTTGTGGCCCATCACCCTGAAATACACACCATCAGTCTTGGCCTTCTCTGCTTCACTGTCCCTCTTTTTCCTGGCAGCTCTCTGTTTTTCTTCCAACTGGATTTTCACTCGGTTAGCCTCATCCCACTTGCCATTTTCCATGTGCCGTTGGTCTGGACGGTTCCGCGAGTCTGTTGGAGCAACTCCTTCCTCTGGTTCATTTAGCTCCACAGCAAGCTGCGTGAAGTGGTAGATTCTCTCACATGACACCCTGGACAACGAAAACAGAGGAATGTCATGAGGTGGCAGTTCCACATCTAGACTGGGATACAGCACCATCTTGACAAACATAAAACCCTGAAAACATCATGGCCTTCAGCTTTGAGATTGGTTGCCTTCTTATCCTAGAGATGCCCTCAATCTCTACAGTATAACATGTTTATGCCAAGCACCATTTAACCTTCATGCTGCATAGTGTATGTCTAACAGATGCATTCTATTCTACAAGTGTAAGAGCTGGCTTTGAACATGTTCAGTATTGCTTCTTGTTTATTGCTGCTCTCAGCAACGTCTTTGAAAGACTTCCCCATGCTATTGCAGTCCTAATTCCCACTGTACTGTACAAACACTTCCAAACACTTGTACATATGCTTCTCAATCCATATTCTGTTCATCATTTGCTTCATGACGGTGTTAGAATGAATGAGTTTAGTTGTATGCAGGGATGAGAATGAAGTTTTGAAAAAACTCTGAAAACTAGCCGAAGCTCCTGATATTTTGGCATTTTAGACCTTTAAAACTGGCTCAGAAATGACAATACATGTATCATGAACACGGCAACCATTAAAAAACTTTAAATCTGCTGAAGCACATTCATACAATTGACAACGGATTTAGACGATTCACAAAAATTACCCTTGACCAATATCCGAATTTAGCAGAGAAAATTCTATCCCTGTGTATGTCGGCTTTAGGGGGACACAAGAAAGGGGTTTCACAGAGTGGGGAATCAAACCCAGGTTCTTCAGATAATTTTTCAACATCAGGAGTACGTACTCCTTATCTTATCGATATAGGAGTACTGGAAAAGCTTAAGAGTAAATGTAGAGTACTGAATGGAATTTAATGGAGCATCAGTAATCTTGTGTTTCGTTTCATATATGCACCACAACATTGCTACTCTTGTGTAAACAGGTCAATAAACAATAAAACAATACTTTTTCAGATAAATACGTCTGTAAATGATTCTAAGACCGTATACCATTGCTGTAGTGCGTATCTGCTTCATTTTCTCAATTATTTCCTACCATAACGTGGATATTTTTTATCCGTACATACGCCGATACGGCCCGCATCTGGAGCCCTGTTGTTTTCCTTCCTTACTTCACTCAGCTATTGTCATGTGTTTAGTATTGATCTGGGAAGTATAGTAAATCTTAAAGCATGCTAATCATGGATTTTCCATTATCAATGTGCACATTATTATGCGGTATACATACATTGGCTTGTTAACCTTCCACATGACTTTATGTGGGCCTGTTTCAAACACCGGCTTGCCCTTGTTGGACTCCTCGACTTTCACCACCTTGGCTCCCTCCATCTGGGAATCCCATGTCCCTGTCATCACCCACTTGGGTTTGCCGGATGCATCAGTCACCACGCCCGACACCTGCACACAGAACAGGCAGTGAGTGGGGCTCAGAAGTGAGAGAGAGTGACTGAGAAGAGATGAAAACTCTAACAAATAGCAGGCACCCTGTAATGTGGGGAATCTTTGGTATGACAAGATGCTTTAACCACTAGGATACCTCAATGATCTATAAGGACTTTTCATTTGCAACCTGTAAATGCACTATTACTCCAACATCTGAAAATACAGTGACCCACCCATCTCACTTTTCATCTTGCATGGAATGACAGAGAACCATCCCACTTCTCACCTTGCATGGAATAACACAGTGACCCACCCATCCCACTTCTCACCTTACATGGAATAATACAGAGACCCACCCATCCTGCTTCTCACAGTGCAGGGAATAACACAGAGACCCACCCATCCTGTTTCTCACCTTACATGGAATAATACAGAGACCCACCCATCCTGCTTCTCACCATGCAGGGAATAACAGAGACCCACCATTCCTGCGTCTCACTTTGTAGGGAATAACAGAGATCCACCCATCCTGCTTCTCACCTTGTAGGGAATAACAGACCCACCCATCCTGCTTCTCACCTTGCAGGGAATAACAGAGACCCACCCATCCTGCTTCTCACCTTGTAGGGGATAACAGACCCATCCATCCTGCTTCTCACCTTGCACGGAATAACAGAGACCCACCATTCCTGTGTCTCACCTTGTAGGGAATAACAGAGACCCACCATTCCTGCGTCTCACCTTGTAGGGAATAACAGAGACCCACCCATCCTGCTTCTCACCTTGCAGGGAATAACAGACCCACCCATCCTGCTTCTCACCTTGCAGGTAATAACAGAGACCCACCCATCCTGTTTCTCACCTTGCATGGAATAACAGAGAGACCCACCCATCCTGCTTCTCACCTTGCAGGGAATAACAGAGACCAACCCTCCATTCCCACTACTCACCTTGCGTGGAATAACAGAGACCCACCCATCCTGCTTCTCACCATGCAGGGAATACACAGCAACCAACCCTCCAGTCCCACTACTCACCTTGCGGGGAATTTCCCTGGAAAAGTAGCTGTATGCAGAATACTTGAGATGGCACTTGTCCCCATTCCGATGGTTCGTGATGTCCATCTCCCCATGACTGTCCACCCACAGCTTCCCTACGATGATGTTGTGCACCGTTGTTGTCACCTTGCGCCACGTGTAGTGGTTGCCGCTCTTGGGAAACACCAGGTGGGCAATGCCTGGACAGGAATGAAGGTATTGACAATACGATCAGTTATGATTCAGGCCTGTAGATTATTTAGTCTGGACCCATTGTGGTGGTGTGTGGTCCTGTGCATTGAGCCCAGGTCACAAATCAGTTGAAGTTAAGCAACATTGGTCATGGTAGGACTTCAGTCCTGCCCCACAACGAAGCACACATGATACATGTGGTCTCACCTCAGGCAACTGGGTTTGTTCATAAATTGGCTCTGTTCATCTATCAGTGAATGGGTACCCGGTGGGACAAGTCATATGAATGGTACCCTTCTCGGCTGGGTTTATCCATGGTAATGTCTTAGAGCCTTGAGCATGCAAAGTGTGTGGAAACAGGCGCTTTATATATAACTATTATTATTATAACCAAATGATCAGCACAAAACTTTCTGCATAACAAAAGAGATGCTCTTATCTACACTTTCACAATGCCTTTGAGTGGGTGAGTTTAGTTTTACACCGCACTCAGCAATATTCCAGCTATATGGCTGTGGTCTGTAAATAAATGAGTCTGGACCAGATATTCCAGTGATCAGCAGCCTGAGCATCGATCTGCACCATTGGGAACCGATGACACGTGTCAACCAAGTCAGCGAGTCTGGCCACCCGATCCCGTTAGTCACCTCTTACGACAAGCATGGGTTACTGAAAACCAATATTCTAACCTGGACCTTCACGGGTACAAAATGCCTTTGAGGATTAACAGGCTAGTTCAGCGAAATCACAGAAGGCATTCATTTGTAAAACTGTAAAGATACAAATCCCATATTTAATGGTTCTGCTGACATAGTTCAAGTGTTAGAGGTTCTGGACTCACCCATGGGTATAATCTGTAGGTATTTGCCACGGAACTTGCTTGTCATGGTGAACTCTTGCCACAAATTCCACTCCTTCCCCTCTCCATACACGGCCAATGTGGGCGGATGGTGGGATACCTGTAGCACACAAAACGCTGAACATGCTGAAACCTGCTAGCTTGGAAGTTGAGTGAGTGAGTGAGTGAGTGAGTGAGTGAGTGAGTGAGTGAGTGAGTGAGTGAGTGAGTGAGTGAGTGAGTGAGAGTGAGTGAGTGAGTGAGTGAGTGAGTGAGTGAGTGAGTGAGTGAGTGAGTGAGTGAGTGAGTGAGTGAGTGGAACTGTGAGACAGATTTGAACAGTATTCCAGGTATATCACAGCGTGTCAGCTTAATGTAATAGGAAAGTTTGAAGTGACGCACGTGAGCATGGGAAACTGCGCTGACAGGTTTAGAAATATAGGGATTCAACCCATGTTCTTGGGTTTCTGGCATCCGAAAGGAATTCAAGTCAGCACAGTATTGTTTTAGCATCAAACAGCTGAACACTTTTGTAAAAGAAAGATGAGTCAAATGTGTATTGTAAAAGATAAACATAAAATCACAAAAAAACTGCTTTGCATAAATACAAAATTTACTGCAACATAATCATGCTAAAATCTTATAAAAGTCTTACAGTTAATAATGCGAGGGCTAATGACATACACCCAGTTGTAAAACAGAAACAGAGCAAGTTGCCCCCATGTATCCCTACAGACTGATGATTTTGCATTTTACATTACAGTTTGCGAGGATTTTTACTCACTAATATGATGAAAAAAACCCTGTTCATGACGTTTTTACTAAAACGAAAATATGGAGACCACTGACTAGAGGCCCCAAATTTAGTTGACTATTTACTGGTGATAGACACCCTATCAGAACCCAAGTACTTAGTCTTATCATACAACCAGCATGAGAGCCTTTCTAGCAATTAATTCAGAATATGGATGAGGACGACAGCAGCCAATAATGCATCCATCCATATATTGTATCCATGGGTTACCTGCTCTGCAATAGACCTCCATCCCAGGTCATCCATCCTATCACTCTCGTAGGTCTCCCCCAAGAGGGGATTGAAGGGCTTTCCTGTCCGACTGAGTGTAGTGGCGTACGCCAATTACGTACGCCGATATCATGAACGCGGCCACCCAGGCCAGCTGTTCGGCGGAGTCCTCGCACTGCGCTGCCATATCCAGGCAATGCGTGTACTCAAACTCCTCGGTTAATCTTTGTAACATGGAGAGGGGTTCGTTGAAGTTGACCTGAAACAGGAAGTGAATTAGGTGTTGGTCTTTCATTAAAACATTATTATTTTTATTATTATAGGATATTTATATAGCGCACATATCCACACAACTAGTAAATGCTCAAGGCGATGATATTGTTTTTCCCCACGATCATTGGATGTCAATCTCAACGGCACATTGTATTATCAATCTCAACTCTCCGGGGAGCATACAACTCTTGCAGCCACTAGGCGCACCGAGTTATTGCGGCTTTGTCATCCTTACGAGGTACCCATTGACAGCTGGGTGGACTGGGACACATAGTCACAGTACTTTATCCAAGTTTATTGCATGTTGCTGTACCTGCAACTAGGTGTTTGCACATATTCATGTGGCCACCATCTGGTCATATACCAAGGATTGATTCGTGGGTTCTTTTAAGTGCACAGGGTTGTGTACTGTACACTAGGGGTTGTGACAACACTGAAAGAGTCTGCACACAAAGTTGACTCCAAGGTTTTTACACCCGGTCACAGGTGGGCTCGATCCCGACACCTCAACCTCGCTGGATCACTAGCCTGGCGCCTTAGCCAGCTTGCCGACCACTCCCCACAAAAATATACCAGTAATCAAGACACCATCCCAATACATTCCCAATACATAGCTGTTTGTGGTGCACGTTCCAGTTTAAATCACTGAAACAAACTACTGCCTGGTTCAAGCATGACTGGGACCAATATGCTCTCAGATTACATTGCACAAACGACCATATTTTTAGACAAAATGGGCTCTAACCTTGTACCTATTTGCTCTGTCCACCGCTTCAGTGTTAGGCAATATTTGAATAAGGCTCATGCAAAAAGACTGACTGACTGACTGAGTTTAGTTTTACGCCGCTTTTAGCAATATTCCAGCAATATCACGGCGGGGGACACCAGAAATGGGCTTAACACATTGTGCCCATGTGGGGAATCGAACCCGGGTCTTTGGCGTGATGAGCCAACGCTTTAACCACTAGGCTACCCCACCGCCCCGGCAAGAAAGACAGCTCATTTGCCTTTCCATTAGTACAAAATGGCCTCATTCCCTAACCTCACAAAAATATCTACAAGCCTCACTAAAATACACAGTATACAGGTTAAATGTGCTTAAGGTGGTGGAGAAACATGCAAACCTGTATTGATGATGCATGGGTTAGTTCCGGAGGTGTGAGATGGGGTAATTACCTTCAACATTACTGCACTCATATTGCAATGTGAAATCACATGTGTGCATATCAGCTGGTGCTTGTCCAGACAGGGCTGGTTTTATAGTGCCAACTCACTAAGACACCATGGTACAATTTGACAAGGATACCCTATCCACAGAACAGTGAAACCTGCCAACACTGGCACCTGTCTAATCCGGCACACTGTCAAAACCAGCGTAACATTTTGGTCCCACCATTTTACAACGATATTATGATCATTAAAACATTGTCTAATGCGGCACCTGTCTATTCCATATTCCAGCACGACATTCCGGTCCCAAAAAGCAATTTTAACTGTAAATAACACTGTCTAAACCGGCATGGGTATGAGCAGTCCAATCAAGGACCCGTAATCCAATACACTCCTCTCGACACACTAGATAATCAGGAAGTAGTGATTGCATGGTGAATCAAATGCTCGTAGGATTACGGCAGTTATGCTTTCTAAACACTGATGGATTGCATTAACTGTTTTCAAGTGAGTGACATGAATGGTTTTTGACTGCCTGCAGTGTAAATGGCAGTCATGTTGGAAAATGATTGTCACTGTCTAATCCGGCACCCTGTCTAAACCGGCATTCTATTTCGGTCCCATGGGGTCCCGGTACAGACAGGTTTCACTGTATACATATTGACTGAGCTGACCAATCCTTGTTTTACTTTTACCAAGCAACAATCAAGGTACCATATAGAACAAACTTTATGGATAACAACTTCTTTTTATTCGTGAGTGTGACGTTTCGATACAGATTCTTGTACCGTTGTCAAGCATAATGGGACATGAAGAAGGGGGTATTATATATATACTATATATATACATAAAAAGAAGTTGTTATCCATAAAGTTTGTTCTATATTGTACTTCCCAACTTCTACAATGCCACTCAAAGAAGAAATCAAGGTACCACCTTATAATTTGTTTGGTGTCAGTGAGTGAGTGACTATGGTTTTACAACGCTTTTAGCAATATCACAGCGGGGGGACACTAGAAATGGGCTTCACATATTGCATCCATGTGGGGACTCGAACCCGGGTCTTTGGTGTGACAAAAGAGGATGACACAGTACTTACAGGCATAGGGATCTTGGACAGTTCTCGACCAATACAGTTCTTCATTATGCTCCAGAGGTTCAGACTAAAGTTGGGCTTGTCTTGGATCCTGCGTCGCCGAACACGTTTTGGCACCACTTCGGTGGAGGAGTCGGAAGCAGATGAAGGATTCTGGGAATCATAAGATACGGATGATGTTGGTGTTCGGGATTTGTCGTGACTTGGAGGTCGCCTGTGTTCTCCCTTCACAACGGATACTGCGTCCATCTACAACGACGGACAAACACGACTCAGTTGCAGACGAGAGTCAGGACAAGAGGCCATCCCAGCAAGCTGGATGCAAGTCCTTTCAACAGCACTTTCTAGTTCTAGTCTGGACTGGAGCAACTAGTTCCGTATGTTCAGGTCTAAAACTGTAAAAGCTCAGCTAGAAAGACTAATAACAGCATCAATATCTGTAGTGAGTGAGTGAGTTCAGTTTTACGGCACTTTTAGCAATATTCCAGCAATATCACAGCTATTGAGAATGACACTTGTGGTCCAAGTTCCGGCAACTGTTAAGGCAAGAAGCCACACGGAGGACAACCTTTTAGTGTATTCTGACAACGTTTCAGCATAAATCCTTTAACCGTTGTCCAGCAAGAGTGAGTGAGCATGGTTTTAGGCTGCTAAAACATTGTTCACACATTGTTCCCATGTGGGGAATCGAACCCGTGGTTTCATGTCAAATCACTTTTTGTCAAATAAGGTGACTGTGACACATTCTGACCGAGAATGGATTTCATAACACAAGAAATGCCCAGATCAGAACTGTCTCCATCAACTTATCTTCCAACCCACCTTTTGGGGCGAGTCTGTCTTGGTGGTGATGACAATGGCCCCCGGGGCCCCAGTCTCTGACTCGGACTCACTGGACATCTCGTTGTTGTAGCTCTCCATGCTGAAGTCGCTGTCTGTGCGTCTGAAACAAGCAGCCATACATGTGTAATTTCTGTCAATGTGGTCATGACACATATTGGGCTTTAATGTCATGTTTAAGATCATTGTCCTAATATTTGTTTATCATGCAGTATTGCATTCAGCTGTCTTCCAGTTATATGGTGGAAAATGTCTTGATCAGAGAGTACAGAGATTTCTACCGTGAGCAACGATACAAGCGAGTGGGCTATCAAGACAGGTAATCAACTAAAGTGAGTGAGTTTAATTTGATGCCGCTTTTAGCAATATTCCAGATATATCACGGTGGGGTAACCAGAAATGGGCTTCACACACTGTACCCATGTGGGGAATCGAACCCGGGTCTTGGGCGTTACAAGCGAACACTTTAACCACAAGGCTGCACCACCGCCCCTCTATTACACAAGACTTGATGAAGGCAACATGCTCTAAAACAGGAAGTATAACGGATCTGTGTACTGCTACCCCACAGTACACATGCATGTTTAGCTACAATCTCAAAATCAGGAACTGGTCAAACAAGTAATATGCATCCTGTTCTTCAATAATCCAAGAATCAGAAACAGGAAATGACCTTTTATTGCAAGAACTGGTGTCATTAACAATCGCTTCCTGAAAACAAAAACAATTACAACTACCTGTGACTAACCAATGAGATTAAAGCCAAGCTACAAGTGTCATTCATCATCTACTGAGTGAAGCAATACAACGTTCTCAGGACAACAATCAGGCCAAATTAAATTATATATCTTTTCTCTCAGACATACTGTCTCAAATTGGTGCTTTCAAATGTTAAATATTTATTTCAAGATAACTGACAGTTAAGATTCAGATGTTTCTACAACAGTTAGCCATTAAAAAATTCTGTGCAAATAACATACATGCTTGACAAAATTGGGGTTAGTTGTCATATTGATGTCTCACAATCTGTAGAATTACAAAAATACCATACAGTTCTGAAAGCATACAATCATTTAAAAAAAACAAAACACATTATCCCATATTTTAAGAGTGATGTAAAGACTAAAACTACTCCCTGATTCCCATTTCATGAGAAAAAAGATTAACTCTAACCGGCCTGTAAAAATGAAGAGTTCTACACTAGACATTATTGTCCACAAACAGCAATAAACAATGACAGGCTAAAGCAACATTGAATGAATGAACAGACTAATAAGGAAGGGTTCTCAGAGGTGTCAGGTACCCCAACTCACCATTCAATAAAACTGTTATCAATGACTGCCTTCAGGGAGGGTAGAGTTGATGTCAAGTGAAACACACAAACACATGACCTAAGAGGAAATAATTCTGTGACATCACGCACTTCAATGACCCTGTGGTTGAGTAGGAGCAAACTCCACAGTGACAACAATACAGAGGAGTACTGACGGCAACTGACAGACTTCTAGCCAGGAGAGACATCCAGGGACAGGCAGTCAGTGGTTTCCTGCGCAAAAGTCCGAGGTGCAGGAAGCCCAAGAATGTGCCACACTGGCATACTGTTATATACCTCACTCACTCACTGACTGATGCAGTATTAATTGGATAGTTGTCAAATGTTGCACAGTCTATACAGACCGAGGTGCAAGAAGTCCCAGAATATGGCACAGCTGAAGGATGGTAATTTTGGAAGCTATGTTCCATGGATATGTGGGTTGATACAAGTATCATGCTTTTAATGAACCTGATCGATGAGATATACTGCATGCTCTATGAATAGTGTATGCTGTATTTCATGAATATGATTTTTGTAGTAACATATACACAGAATTACTGGGATATCACCCATATGTACAGGATGACACATGTGACATGTACAGCATTCCTGGGATGTATGACACATGTACAGCATTCCTGGGATGTATGACACATGTACAGCATTCCTGGGATGTATACATGACACATGTACAGCATTCCTGGGATGTATGACACATGTACAGCATTCCTGGGATGTATGACACATGTACAGCATTCCTGGGATGTATGACACATGTACAGCATTCCTGGGGTATATATGACACATGTACAGCATTCCTGGGATGTATGACACATGTACAGCATTCCTGGGATGTATGACACATGTACAGCGTTCCTGGTGTATATATGACACATGTACAGCATATGTATGACACATGTACAGTATTCCTGGTGTATATATGACACATGTACAGCATTCCTGGGATGTATGACATGTACAGTATTCCTGGTGTATATCTGACACGTACAGTATTCCTGGTGTATATCTGACACATGTACAGTATTCCTGGTGTATATCTGACACATGTACAGTATTCCTGGTGTATATCTGACACATGTACATGTATTCCCAGGATGAGTGAGGCAGTATAAATGGGACAGAAAGTATTCCAATTCGTTTCAATTTGTAAATATTTCCTTCTTTATGACACATGTACAGTTGGTGGTGAAATTTTGACACATGTACAGCAGTCCTGGGATGTATCTGTAATGCATTCCAGATTATGGCAAACATGCAGTGACACACAAGCAGGAGTGTATGGTATGCATGTATTAGCCTGGATCAATGCCATAAAATACCTTCAAGGTGCCAGCCCACTGATGTGGTACAGAGCTGGGCCATATAGGTAACCACGGCATGCCAGCCCACGGCATGACACCCAGCATTCCTGATGTGGTACAGAGGGGCCAGGTAACCACGGCATGCCAGCCCACTGATGTGCATGTACAGCAGCTGGGCCAGGTAACCCATGGCATGCCAGCCCACTGATGTGCACAGCTGGGCCAGGTAACCACGGCATGCCAGCCCACTGATGTGGTAAGAGGGGGCCAGGTTACCACGGCATGCCAGCCCACTGATGTGGACAGCTGGGCCAGGTAACCACGGCATGCCAGCCCACTGATGTGGACAGCTGGGCCAGGTAACCACGGCATGCAGCCCCTTGATGTGGTGAGCTGGGCCAGGTAACCACGGCATGCCAGCCCCCTGATGTGGACAGCTGGGCCAGGTAACCACGGCATGCCAGCCCACTGATGTGGACAGCTGGGCCAGGTAACCACGGCATGCAGCCCCTTGATGTGGTGAGCTGGGCTAGGTAACCACAGCATGCCAGCCCACTTGTGTGGACAGCTGGGCCAGGTAACCACGGCATGCCAGCCCCCTGATGTGGACAGCTGGGCCAGGTAACCAGGGCATGCCAGCCCCCTGATGTGGACAGCTGGGCCAGGTAACCACAGCATGCCAGCCCACTGATGTGGACAGCTGGGCCAGGTAACCACGGCATGCCAGCCCACTGATGTGGTGAGCTGGGCCAGGTAACCACGGCATGCCAGCCCACTGATGTGGACAGCTGGGCCAGGTAACCACGGCATGCCAGCCCACTGATGTGGACAGCTGGGCCAGGTAACCACGGCATGCCAGCCCACTGATGTGGTGAGCTGGGCCAGGTAACCACGGCATGCCATGGGTATAAAACTATGACCGTCCACTCTTCAGACAGGAGCACTAGACCACAGTGGCGGTCACTATTCAATTTGTCTTAAAACAAGTTGGACAGAATGAATCATACACCCTGAGGATGATGAGCTGGCAAAGACTAAAACCCCCATCAGCTAAACTGAAAACACACAACAAAACATTGCTGGTGAACAGCTGATATTTTGAAACCACAAAACATTGCAAGTGAACAGCCGATATTTTCAAGCAACAAAATATTGCAAGTGAACGGCCAATATTTTTACAAACAAACATAGCTGGTGAACGACCAATATGATTTCATACAACAACTATGTTTTAACCTTGAGTGAGATAACTAGACCACTGTAAACCAACAAAGATGATACACAGCATTGCTCTGTGAGCAAGCATGAAACTACAGCTAATAAATCAAGACATAGGAAGAGAAGAGAGGGAGGAGAGAGGACAAGGAGAGAGACAACAGGACGACGTAAAGCTACAAACTCCACTTACAGAAACTCTGCTCTGCATGTCCAAGGGAGAGGAAGAACATGGAGATGACATGGTATGTTATTGCTGGGCAACACAAGTAACACCACGGTGAGATAACACCATGGTGATGTGACAAATGGTAGGTTTGTGAGGGCTGGAGTATCATCATGGCAGAGACACGGCAGGTCTAGTGACATACACCTATTCAGTATTGAGAACAACGGACGATTATCTTTGCAGATGCTAACATAATTACAGGGATTTATCTAGGCCTGCCGGGGGTTGGTATTCATGCTCAAGCCTGCAGCAAATATCTGAAAAAACTTCTAAGTTTAGTGAGTATAATTTTACAGCTCTTTGAGCAATATTCAAGCAATACCACAGCAGGAGATACCAGAAATGGGCTCTTTAATTTGAAAAACAATTCATTTGAATTACATTTAATGTTACAACAGCTTTAACTAATGCACTGGCCTTGAAGAGACTTGCATTTTATTGACATGTGCAATACACATGATAAAGAGTTTTAAAATTAGTTTTCGATTTCACTGAAAAAATGTGAATTTAAAAACAATTTTAAATCATTCTAAAACTGAGCTAAATAAAGATGGTTCTTCAAAGGAGCATGTCAAAGGCAGTTTGGAATTCTAGATAAGTCCCTGATAATGGTTAATACCCTAAAAATAATTAATGCTCTAAAAATAATTATAATTATTAGCCTAAAAATAATTAAATCAAGCTAACTATGAAAATAAACATTGCAAGGCAAAGATGATCTGGATGCCAAATAAATATAACTTTTAACACTCAAAGGTCTGTTAACATAGCTTCATTACAGCTAAACAAAGATCCAGAGTACCATTCAAAGCAGTGACCAAACTGCTACGACTTTCATAAATCTGTAAGTTCAGGAGTTACGAGAGCTGCAGCAATGGGATCACCGCGAAGAACAGCTCTGCGGAAGTTCATAGAGCAACATGCTTTAAAGCAAGATGCAGAGATTTCAAACATTCCTGATGCTGTCACTACATGCAGAAAAGGCAACACATACCTGTGTGATTTTTTAGCATTATGCGGCAGCGCCACTTCGAATTCTTCCACCTGGTGATCCAGAGCGTCAAAGAAGTCCTCATCGTCAGATGGGTTAGAGCCTGCATCGAAGAGGGGGATGTAATCACAATTCCTTGGTAAGAGTTTCATTGTTAAAATAAGTTCCAGGGTCCCATTCCACAGATCAATGTCAGAACTACAACTGCCGTAGGTAGGTATTAATGTGAGTTACGATCCACTTGTTTATTTGTTTTGTCAGATTCAACAATATTCCAGCTATATGATGGTGGTCTGTAAATAACTCAGTCTGGACCAGAAAACCCAGTGATTAACATTTAAGTGCCAATCGATGCAACAGGGATACAATGATATACATCCAATAAGTCTGTAAATCTGACCACCCAATCCTGTAGTTGTTTCTTACAATTGTGAGTGAGTGAATTTAGTTTTATGCCGCACTCAGCAATATTCCAGCTATATGGCGGCGGTCTGTAAATAATCAAGTCTGGACCAGACAATCCAGTGATAATCAAGTCTGGACCAGACAATCCAGTGATCAACAGCATGAGCATCGATCTGCTCAATTGGGAACCGATGACATGTGTCAACCAAGTCAGCGAGCCTGACCACCCGATCCCGTTAGTCGTCTCTTACGACAAGCATGGGTTACTGAAGATCAATATTCTAACCCGGACCTTCACAGGTATGTTTCTTACAATTCTAACCCAGATCTATTGAGACTGTTCACCTTACCACCAACACCATGCAAACATTTCTTCTCACAAAGCGATCTTATCGCCACAGCTGTCACAATCTATGCTCAAGTATGGGAGTTACAATAACTTGACCAATGAGATCGCCAAGATGAAAGAGATTCTGCTGCTCGCGTCTTAGAAATATGTTCTCTTTGCAACACATTTTTAATGGCAAGTCATTCAGTAACTGCTGACCCCTGTCAACTTATTCATATAACAACTACCAGGATAGACTAGTCCACAGCAACCTTGCTAATTGTATGACTTAATGGGTTGGGTGATCACTCAGTGACTGGTTTGATAGCGTATCAGTGGTCCCCAACAATGTCCCATGTGTATCATTGGTCTAGACTCCGATACTTACAGGCCACCTTCATACACCTGGAATAATGCCCAGTGGTGTTCAACAACTATTAATCAGAACCATGCCTACTTATTCCATATAGTCTGAAAGCAAATTTCTTATTGAAAAAACTGTTCGTTGTGAACATGTTTAAATTGTTACTACAACCATCAAAACCGATGCTTCTTACTCAGATGAATTAAATATAGTACTCAAAAGAAATTTAGAAAACACCTGACTTTTTTATAGTTAACCTGTCACACCAAGACAGGAAAGTAATATGAATACCGTATACGGAAATTTTCGAGGTATCTAATTTTCGAGGTTAGAGAAGCGCAACCTCGAAAATATTATATCCATGAATTTTCCGAACTTCAAACCTTTGGGTTAGATTTCCTATCGATAAGCATTTCAACTGCTAGCAACCAATGACTTCCTGACATGCGCATTAACTCTTTAATGCCTGTCTACAACTAATCTTAACGTTCAGTGACCCTGAGCGGCCTGAATGAACAAACAACAGAAATGCGGTGTCGAGGACTATTTAATAGTGTTGTAATTGTTGGTCAGAATAACATGCATTATAAAAAATAGGTAAATCAATCAGTGTGTTACATGTGAAGTCAAACCAACTGTCAATGCACTCGATGTCACTCTCTGGCCAAACGGACGCATCGGCGATGCCAGGTTTGATGAATCGCATCTGTAAGGGGATTGTTTACACAAACATCCTAGGGCTGTAAGGCATCCGTGCTGTTGGTCAGTTTAAGCTAAAGAGGTCAAGTTGTCAGCTTTCTAACAACAACATAGTTTCAGCAGAGACCCATCATACATGCTTATAGTTAGTTGTTAAAAAACAATATCGTCTGAGAGAAAAATGCGTCATGTTTGAACACTGCCCGACAGAGTGTTTCATGGGTCATTTATCACAACAAAGGATCAAAGGGTTGTTTTCATTACTATTATTTCTGCCATGGACTGGTATACCGGTAGTTATAACAATCAGACGGCAGTTATCACTGGCTACTTGTCGATAGTTCACTGAGTATTAATCCGGTAAGTCATGTTTCTGGGCACTTTCTTCTAACCTCGAAATTAAAATTGTTTAAAATATTTATATATTTTAGGCCCCAAAACCTCGAAATTTAAATCACCTCGAAAGCTCTGGGGTCTCAAACCTCAAAATTTTAGTACCTCGAAAATTTCCCGGTATAATGGTATATCGAAGATTTGTTAATTTCTTTTGAGATGTTTGGATTTAGAAAATCGCTGTTATTCACTGTTTGTATTACAAAACACGGTGCATATTGGTTCTTTTTATTAAAAAATTAAAATATAGAAATAAAGATGTTATTTATAAATATATAAACATTCAAATGTACAAAATATTTAGATGTCATTTGTAATGAACTAAGTCACTGAAATATGCACCAAACTGACCCCAGTGTAAGACTACTTACTGTGCTCAAACTGTGTACAACATATGTTTATTTATACCACATGTCAACAATACAGACTATATCATTCCTGGAGCTCAGTGCCATTGTGACCACCTGAGGGGGAAGTTGGCTGGGGGATAAGTCTGCAGAACATACTGACCTAACATCAACATACTGTGTTATCCACTGTCAGCCACAACAAGCTCAATACACATGGGAGTCTATGTAATCAACCCTAGTTACCTCCCCTGCCTCAGTGCTGACCAAAGTGGAGCTAGTACTTTGGACCATTGTTTAGTGATAGATGAGTCTCGTATGACGGAACAACTGTTTATCAGCTATAGTCTGTTTCAGACTCTCCGTGCACTAACCCACGACCTCAGACAAAGGTCAGCAAAATGTGAAGGTCATTCCAGGGCTCCAGATAGGGGCCGTATCGGCGTATGTACGGATAAAAAATATGCAAAATACGGAAGGACATATTTTGGAAAAAGTAGCAGATACGCACCACAGCAATGGTGTACGGTCTTAGAATCATTTACAGTCGTATTTATCCGAAAAAAAGTATTGTTTTATTGTTCATTGACCTGTTTAAACAAGAGTAGCAATGTTGTGGTGCATACATGAAAAGAAACACGAGATTACTGGTACTCCATTAAATTCCATTCAGTACTCTATATGTACTCTTAAAGTTTTCCAGTACTCTTATATGGAAAAAATAAGGAGTACGTACTCCTGATGTTGAAATATTATCTGGAGCCCTGTCATTCCCTCCAAGTCCATTCAATAATTAATATTTGTATCAATTTCCACACATTCAAAAAAATAAGTTATGAAATTAGGAACAAGAGATATGTCCTGAAATATTTTCCATGATTAATCATTTATTGGTTGTAAGGTTCTGTATAGCTGGCAATACAGTCACTTGGAGGAGTGTTTTGATGGCCATACTCCTCAACTTAACCTTGCTGACTGAAAAGATGAGGTCAGGTTTTGTGAAGTGACATCCAACATGCCATTCAAAATTAATGTACTTGTCTTGCAGCATGAATGAGTATGTGTGGTGGGTGGGGGGTTTTAGGAGGGGACTAGTCCTTGTTTCATCCAGGTATTGCCAAGCATCAGAGGTGTGATGATGATGTAAGTGATGATGATGATGATGATGATATTGTGTATTGTGATGTGTATGTGTGTGTATTGATATTATTGATGTAGTATTGTTGTGTATTGTGTTATTATTGATTATGATGATTATTATTATTATTGATATGTGTGTGTGTGTGTTATTGATGTGATGTGTGTGTGTGTGATATTATTGTGTGTGTGTGTGTGTGTGTGTGTGTGATATTGTGTGTGTGTGTGTGTGTGTGTGTGTGTGTGTGTGTGTGTGTGTGTGTGTGTGTGTGTGTGTGTGTGTGTGTGTGTGTGTGTGTGTGTGTGTGTGTGTGTGTGTGTGTGTGTGTGTGTGTGTGTGTGTGTGTGTGTGTGTGTGTGTGTGTGTGTGTGTGTGTGTGTGTGTGTGTGTGTGTGTGTGTGTGTGTGTGTGTGTGTGTGTGTGTGTGTGTGTGTGTGTGTGTGTGTGTGTGTGTGTGTGTGTGTGTGTGTGTGTGTGTGTGTGTGTGTGTGTGTGTGTGTGTGTGTGTGTGTGTGTGTGTGTGTGTGTTTTGGAGGGGGACTAGTCCTTGTTCAGGTATTGCCAAGCATCAGGCTGGGTAACAACAAATACCATCTTATAAGGAATTGTATGATGTACGAGGATCAAGCCAGGTTGAAGATCCCCATGAACATAGACTACTCTAATGCTTCTACCTACAAAGAGAAAGAATGTCCAAGTTTTATGGATGCTTTCAGGGCCTGTGATCTTATTCAGCTTTCAGTGATCATTGCAGGAACTTCGTAACATCCCAAACTATGCCAGACATCAGCTTACAACATTTTGTTCTCCTTTGGACATAGTAAAACCTTTCGTGTTGTCTCCCACACATATCCTATCATAGCAGTGCAATGACATTTTCTCTGTTTATTCAAATTTAGGACCATATGATTAGTTTGTTACTTAACACCACACCCAGCAACATTCCAGTTGTATGACGACTGTATGTAAATAATTGAGTCTGAACCAGATAATCCAGTGATAACCATCATGACCATCGATATATGCTATTCAACTAGTTTCATCACCTTCAATGCATAAGCAAGTATTTTAAGAATATCCATCCTATCTTAAATTATAGATACAGGTTGTGTGTGACTATGGCAAACCATCAGTTAGTTTCATTCACATTCAATGCATGAAACCATCTATTGGTGTGAAACAGTCTTTAGAGGAAGTCAATCAGCTGATTGTTCTTATCAGAATGTCAGGGTCAGGCAACATGTCACAGTTGATAATGAAGCTAAGTCAGGTCAGTCTAAGACGTTGTAACATGTAAGCAAACCAGGGGTAGGGCCAGATCTGCTGTGCAGCTAAATCACGTCATGAAAAAACATCACTGAGTCTTTTTTTGGTTTCTAGGCCACCCCACCGCCGCTCCTCAAAGATTGATTGATTGATTAGTTGTTTAACGCCACAATCTGTAACAAGCTTTACGGCGGCGGTCTATAAATAACTGAGTCTGGCCCACTGATCAACATCATGAGCATTGATCTACACAATTGGGATACGATGACATGTGTCAACAAAGTCAGCGAGCCTGACCACCGGATCCTGTCAGTCGTCTCTTATAACAAACATGGGTTGCGGAAAACCATTTCTAATCTGGATCATCACAGGTCCTCCTCGAAAAGAGGCTGTTATAAGAAATGTATTTTTCCAGAGAGAGTAAAGGTATTTAGGTCAAATGAGGTCCATTGTTTACTTATGACTCATTGTATTCATGCAACAACATGCATGATCATGTTTGCATTAGTGACTGCTTCTATAGTCCATTTGATTTCATTTTAGACCGATGAATTTCTCACGAACACAAATTCTAATATTTGCAACAAAACCAAATTTTGCACAGTCACATGAAATCGACAGACCAACTCTGATGATTTGTCTCATAATTTTGGTCACCCCGAATAAAAAGTTGTTAAACAAACGATCATTATTTTGTTGTCAATTTTCGCTATTTCTTGCGTGGGAGGACCACTTACTCGTAGTACAGCCAGGTGTGTGAGTTGAAATTGAAATTTCACTGCACACGCTTGTTTATTACCTGGCTGTTCTAAGAGCAAGTTGCAATTATTAGATTTTGTGTTAGTGAGCAATTCATCAGTCTAAAATGAAGTCAAATGGACTATACCAATTGGGACAAATGCCCATTTTAAGAGTGCAAGTCTACTGAGATACCATGTAACACTATTTCGATTTGCGTAGCGATCCTTTGTTTACATAGGTTGTATGGCTCCACGTGCTGTCATTGAAGCCGACGGAGAACAAACGATGCAGCCAGTTTGATATCTAAATATGTACTGTCATAGACCTTACTGTTGCAGTTGTGGAAGAATATATATGTAACAATGTAAAACAGTATGAAGAGCGCACCGAAAAGCTTGTGCAAGGCCAGTGTCTTCATATTGTGAATATGCGCGTTTATTTACAAACAAGAGAAAGTCCGGTCACGTGATATGCAAATTAGCCAGTAGCAGTGATGTTATGCTAAGTCATCACTGCACCGGAGTGTGATCAAACCCCTGACATTTCTCCGGGTAGATGCTCTATCTTCTATTCTGTGGAGGTGGTAGACATGTCAGTGCGATCTTGGGAAACATTGTGTGCCAACAAGAAGAGTTGGATCCATCATGAAACTTGGTGAATGAACCAAGGCTAATGACACACTAATGACATGCAAGGTGACTATGGCACGCAATCAACCAACTGACCCTGATGATGCGATCCATTTGTTCGCCAGTTCTCTGCTTAGGATAAATTCTAACCAATGGGTCTCCTAAACTTGTATTACCTGGGTTTTCTTTCTTGACATTCTGCAGTGATTTGCGTGCCTTGTTCTCCAGGGACACCTGGTCCTTGGCCAGCTGCTCCACCATCTCCTCTAGCTTGAGGCGCTGGTCGTGCTCAAACTGCAGCACACGTTGCCACCGCTTGCCGTGAACCTGGGCAAACTCGTAGTACTCCGAACAAGCCTGAAAGTGGGACATATGGAATCAATAGACACTTTCAGAGACTTTCAGAGACTACGGTCAACACATTTCCAAATGGATGATCACATATTTCTGAAAGTGGGACGTATGGAATCAACAGACACTTTCAAGACTATGGGATGATCACATATTTCTGAAAGTGGAACGTATGGAATCAACAGAGACTTTCAAGACTATGGGATGATCACATATTTCTTACAAAGGCATAGGCATAATGTAATTAATATCATGAAGGTTCCCTTATTGAATTTTATATGTATCTTCATCACTTCAATCAATAACTTCTGAATGAAAAGAAAAACATTATAATAGTTTGGAAACTGAATGGTCAAATAGCGACTGACTGTGTGGATCTGTGTGCTGATGTAAGCCCTCCCATGCTCATCCTACAATACACATATTCCTTTAAACGGGTTAAAAACCACTGGATCTTTTCATATATCTATAATGAATCAGTCAATAACTTCTGTTCCTGAACTTTTTGTGAGTAATATTTACTAAATCCATCTGCAACTGTTCTGCCCTTCAGTCCAGCTTACATTAATCATGGCATTCGATGTTATCCGGAAGAGAGTTGCTCTTTCATTCACGGCCTTCAGCTTGCTTGCCACATCGGTCATGCTGTCCATCTGCTCCAGCTCTGAAAGGGTCTTCTGAAGGGCTGCTCCATGTTTGGCAATGAGGTCATTGCACGTGTTGAGGTCTTCTAGCTTGGCGTTCAGCGTCCGCAGCGTGTTCTGCAGCTCAAACTTATCGGGCTGATGAGCTTCCTCTTCGTCACTCTCTGGAGAAAAAGATTCAAAACAACACATAAAGAGAGCTATCTAACTTCAAGTTCCTGAAATCATTGACAATAACTGGCTTTTTTCCAATCTAGGTCCCGATTCACAAAGCATTTCAGGGATAGAAATGCTTTTTTTTCTAAGTGTGCCTTAGGGCACCAGACAAATATTTTAGATGTGCCTTTCAGAAATCAAGTGTGCCCACATGTTTTTAGAATAAATGACTGTAGCAATGATGATGATCATTTGAAATTTATTGTTAAGTAAAGAAATGGGTTTATAAGCATTCAGATATGTATGGTATTATTCAGTTTTGAAAAAAATAATTGTGTTGGGGATTAAATGACTAAATGTGAGTTATGTGTCTAGAAAATTAGGCGTGTGAAAAGGGCACAGAGAACATATTTCAGCCATGCCATTTTAATATTTCCTGTGCCATGGCATACTAATATATGGGGTATTTCGAACCCTGCATTTGTAACATTATGACCTGTCGAAACTCTATTATTTACCATAGGCTCACGGATATCACAGCGCGCTACAAAGGTTTTGTGGATTGGGATCCAGGACAAACACAATAATTCAAATATTTATAATAAATAATGAAGGAAACATTACATTGAAGGAAACATTGAGGAAATTGAAAGTAGATTCTTACATTAATAAATACAATAAACAGGATTCGGAAGATGATGTTGAAACTAATCAGTTAAAAAAATCTTAGGTAAATAGGTCCTGTCTTATCAGCCTGAGGAGGCTTAAACATAATCTGATGTCAAACCTCAGTTATGTCAATAGTTTTATGTACAGCAATTATTTCAAGATGAGATTTATAACACAACAAATAGCTAACTGATCAATGCAAAAGATCTGATTATCGCCATAAACACTGATCATGATAACTTCATCACCTGCTTCCAGCATCCTGATGGCTTCAGCCTTTGCCAACTCCAGCGCCGTCACCCACTTCTGTCTCTCCACCTCCGACGTCGCCTTCAAGTAGAAGCTTTGAGCTCCGCCGTTGGAGATGACGAAGGTGCATGAGTCCTCCGTGTGTATGAAAGCATTTGCCAGGTTGATGGTGCCGCGGCAAGTGTGTGCCATCTCCGCCTGGTTCCTGCAACATCAACAACATCAGTCAGAGCAACGTCTAAAAGGTTGTTTCTAGAAACCTAAACGACACCCCTTTTCACTTGCAAAGTAGTAATTAGTAATGGTAACTGTTTTTTTCACTATTGTGATAGTCATGTAGTGAGTGAGTGAGTGAGTGAGTTTGGTTTTACGCCGCTTTTAGCAATATTCCAGCAATATCACGGCGGGGAACACCAGAAATGGGCTTAACCCATTGTACCCATGTGGGGAATCGAACCCGGGTCTTCAGCGTGACGAGCGAACGCCTTAACCACTAGGCTACCCCACCGCCCCTGATAGTCATGTAGTCATGAGAGTCATAGCTCCAAGCTATAGTCTGTTTGCAGTGAAAATGTACCGATGAATTTCACCTTAAACAAAAAAGTAAATCAAATAAAGGGATTTTAATTAAGATTGCGAATCCTCATAATTTTACCTTGAGAATTGAACATTTTATTCAACTTGGGATAAAAGTTTTTTAACAAACGATCATAGATTCAAATCGCTATTATTGGTTTGTATTACAAGGGGTTAAGCGCAGTAGTTGGAACAGTGAAACAAATGCATGTGCGGTACGTGATGAGCATTAACTTAGACCAACCCTACTTGTTCTCAGTGTTTCATTTAATGTCTGCTAACAGACTATAGTTCCTTATAGTTTTCCAGATGATGTCTGTTCTTTGAAGAGCAAAATATGAACATGCACTTGGCGCAATTTGGTATAAATATGAGGTTGCATTTCGCTGTTGCACAGTGCAAGTTTAATCAAACCCTAGCTTGACATACCATTAACATGATCAGATCCCTAATAAGAAGGAAACAATTTCAGTGCAAGGTCAAGAATTCAGCAAGATTTTGTTGCAAATGTTCTCAATGGTAATTACAAAATATAAACACTTTTACCCATCCCAGTGGTTAAAGCGTCCCACTGAAGGCCTGGGTTCGATTCTACTTATGAGTACTATGTGTGAAGCCAATTTCTGGTGTCCCCAGCATAATATTGCTGGAATAGTGCTAAACTCACTCACTCTTGATGTTAACTCTGTAACTAACAGCATTAATTTCATTTCAAGGATGCCCAAAATTATAAACGGCACTAGAAATCTTCAATGTTAAAGTATCAAAAGCACTATGACAACATAAACCAAAGGTCAATGACATCAACCAGGTCCAATGCCATTGATCACCTCTGGTCTCATAATTAAGGCTCTACAGTAATTACCTGGCAAGCAATATACACATATGTAACCATGGTAACATAATAGTGACTTACTAACAGCAGCATTATGACACAGTGACACATATTTAAAGTAAGTCCTTCCCATTGTGGCACCATTGTCTGGTCAGTTAATCAATACAGATGACAATAATCTCCACTGTTTCTCAAAACCCTCACATCTGAGGATACTGAGCAAAATGAAATTTCCGGAGAAAATGTTAAAAGTCAAATTTTACATTTTATAGGACTACATGAATTTTTTAATTTGAGTAAGACGAGTTAAAAGGTAGTTTCGATAGAAATTTAAGCAAACCAGGATTTGCATCAACTATCACAGGTTTCTGGAATGCCTAACGATGCAAGACTAGACAGCCATTGCTGTCCTTGAGTCAACTGGGACGGTTTTCTGTATTTTGATCGGGTCAAGACTTGAAAAAAACAATGAATGATCAAGCATAAGAATAAAATATCAACTTTAAAACATTTGTAGATTTTATCATGTTCATGACCGACAGCTTCCTTTGGAACTGAAAGTGGTGACCGACAGCAAACATCATGGCCATGTTCGACAGACACAGGACACAGTTTGACTTCTGGCTGGGATTAGTAAATCAGGTGCTCACCAACATCCCATTATTTCATTACTCCCTGTAGCCATTTCCAACACTTGCTCTGTGTAGTCTCCTCAACGCTAAATGCACTTTATTGGAATTTCATTGCACTTGTTACAGTGACTATGAAAGAGAGCTGAGGTGGAGTGAGGTGAAATAAAGTGTAACATAGCATTCCAGATGATTGAACTACAGTGTTAATCAGTCACCCAGACCCTAAACAATAAACTGAACACGAATCCTACTCAAGTGTCCAATGATTTGGCAAGTCTAGATTGCCTCGGCTTTTGGCAGAAAATAAGAATACTTCTGAGCTCCAATTGGATTTTTTAAAGACAAATATAATTTGTTTTATATTTTTAAATAAGATAACTTTATTTCTGGGACTAAATGAGTGAGTGAGTTTAGTTTCTCGCCGCTTTTAGCAATGTTCCAGCAATATCACGGCAGGGGACACCAGAAATGGGCTTCACACATTGTGCCCATGTGAGGAATCAAACACAGGTCTTCAGCGTGATGCTTTAACCACTAGGCTACCCCACCACCCCTTCTGGGACTAAATGTCAGTCTACACGTGCGTGTTGCTGCTTGTATACAGTCCAGACTCGCATTGGTTTTATAGTGCTATAACCAGTGCTTCCACCCTTCAGCTTTGCCTTTCGTGTTTGAAACGACACCACCATCCTTCAGATCAGGATGTGGTTGACTCAGTGAGTGTAGGAATGAGCATGTACATGAGGGAGGTGACTGAAAGTTGGCTCCTTATCTTCGCAGACTTATCTGATATACCAAGCATTTAAAAATACTATTGTGAAATGTATAGTGGAACGAGAGAACCATGCACCCGTATCATATTTATCTTTATCTTGTATTCTGTAAACATTCACATATTCTGGTAGGTCCTTTCAACTCGATTTTGTTTCCTTTTTAAAACATTTTCAGCTTTAATGAGTGAGTGAGTTTAGTTTTAGGCCACTTTTAGCAATATTCCAGCAATTTCATGGTGGGAGACACCAGGATATATCCCATGTAGGGAATCAAACACGAATCTTGACGAGGGAATGCCTTAACTACAAGGCTACCCCACCACCCCTTTAAATTCTGTTAAAGGTATGTCCTATGTTGTACAAGTGCACAAAACAACATACAAGTTACAATGGGCCAAGTGCACAAAACAACATATGCACAAGTTACTATGGGCCAGATGAGGCATGTACTACATCGCACACACCGGTCAGTTCACGCATATATGTGATGCCTGCATTGATCACAACACACACATCTGTTGCATATTTCACACAAATATGCAGGTAATCTTGTCTTTGAGACATAACTGTATACCAACTGAATCTCTATCATATCGCCATGAATATTCTAAAGTTACATTCACGCCAACCCTAATGTTAAAACATACGATTATATTTAAATACTCGAGTGCCGAATGTTTTAGGACACACCAGGAGCCCTCTCAATTTAGAACACTTCTGTCTATCTAGGGTAAGTGTTCGAGTGGGAATACTGACTCAGCAATATTACTACAGCTGGGTCGCAATGACCTTAGTGTGTAGATGCACAATCACCCAGGCATGCAAGGTCAAAACATGTGGAGATTGCGTGTCCAAAGCCAGATACACTGACTGTAGGAGACGACCAACTGGATGGGTAGTAAGGCTTGGTGTCATGGTTCAGAGTGTCGTCATGGCAGCATGGATCACTGCTCACAGTATCAATCACCGGATTGTCTGTGTGAGTGAGTGAGTGAGTTGGTTTTACGCCGCTTTTAGCAATATTCCAGCAATATCACGGCGGGGGACACCAGAAATGGGCTTCACACATTGTACCCATGTGGGGAATCGAACCCGGGCCTTTGGCGTGACGAGCGAACGCTTTAACCACTGGGCTAACTCACCGCCCCTGGATTGTCTGTGTGAGTGAGTGGAGTTCAACACTGCCTTCAGTGATATTAGTGTTCACCCTGCACAAGATCACCAGAAGTGCTACATCTCAAAGACCACGCTATGGAACCCTCAGCCACTGAGCGGCGCAGATATTAAGCCTGATGGTTGGCTGGTTTGTTGTTTAACGCCACACTCAGCAATTTTCAGCTACATGTCTGTGGTCTGTAACTAATCGAGTCTGGACCAGACAATCCAGTGATCAACAGCATGAGCATCCATTTACGATGACATGTGTCTAGCAAGTCAGAAAGCCTGACCACCCGATCCCAGTTGCCTCTTACGACATGCATGGGTTGCTGAAGACCAATTTTATCCCAAATCTTCATGGGTAGAATTAGCATGAACTTAAGCATGTTAAGATAACACTATTGTCAGCATGTTTCATGTTTAATGCCGCACACAGCAATACTCCATAGTAATGACAGCAGTCTGTAAACAATAAAGTCTGGACCAGACAATCCAGTGACTGACATGCCTCAACCAAATCAGCGTACCTGACCAACCACCCTGGTTAGTCATCTCTTGCAATAAGCACAGGTTTCAGAACACCAATTGTAATCCAGATATTTACAATGGATCAGTTTGATGTGTCAGAAAAGCCTGAATTGAATTTCCAGTTTGCTGACAGGTAACACACTGGCGCTGATAAACCTAGAAAGTTAATCAGCACAAATCTGGAATTGGAGACTACTAGGGGTGCCGCGATACGCGAATGTATCGATGCATCGATACATTTTTACTGACGATACGATACGCGATACATGCTTGCGTGTATCGATTCCTATTTTAAAACTTTATCGATTCAAATTTTTATGCTATATCCATCTCCGTCAAAGTAGTCAAAGTCTTGATAGTAAAATTATACCAGACCACTCCGATAAATAGATGTAGCTAGCTTTACTTAAAAATAGGTTGGAAACTAACAGCTTTTGTGATTGGCTAGACTATTTTGATGGACCAATCAGCGAGCGCGCACGTTGCCGGGAAGGTAATGCTATGAAAAGGCGCGATAATTATGTATCGCGATGCGTATCGTATCGTGACCTTAAAATCGTGATACGTATCGTATCGTGAGATTGGTGTATCGTGACACCCCTAGAGACTACAATGCTTGGTTTCCAGCATGCTTATGCAAGGCAATTTGCACAGTGAAAGACATGCCATAAATACTGGGCCACAAGCCATCATAAGTGTCATC